TGGTTCACTAGTCCGGAGGAGCACTCCCTGAACTGGCCTAAACGGAGGGGCTCCGCCCGAATGGGAACCCTTTTTCAGGTATATGAAAGAGTAGGCAATTCGCTAGATGAAGTATATCAAAGGGTAAGAAAAACTATCATCTATTTAGAAGAGCCTTTATTAAAATGTTTCAAAAAGAAGCGCATCATGGCTATATCATTGAAATGTATTAATATAACATCATGACACGAAAACGACAAGCATACTACATGTTTTAGCGATTTATTCTTCTTCAATAGGCTTGTTAAAGCTGTATCATTTTTTTTCAGCGGAAGGAATACGAAAGGAGCTAGTGGTAGGATATCTGGGCGGAGCCTCCCCACGAGGTTCACTGAGCTGTGTGTTTGTTTGTGATTTAGGTTTTTAGTGAACTGTTTCACAGTATGTGGCTCAAAATACGAAGAAAAAAAAGACATTGATAGTTAGGACCAAGTTTTGCGACCTCCTTGCGAGATGTTTTGAAGTGCTAAAAGTTTTTGCAACAGATCTTCTAATGCAATTAGAGCCGTTTCAACGGTTTTAAGTTGTTAATCTGTCCTTTGTCCCATTAAAGCGGCATCTTGAATAAGAGCTATTGGTTCAATAGCCCACGTTCGATATATTAAAATGCTAACATGACTCCGAGGCTTGCTGTTCATTTTTCAATATTTGAATCGGTTTTCTTTGTGCTCAAGTCTCTTCTGGAAAATGCGAGACAATGGAGTTGTGAAAGATTTGCAATTTGTCCCTAAAGCCTCGGGGTCATGTTAGAAATTTAATATATCGGGCGTGGGCTATTATTAGTAGAAAAATCTTTCCGCATCCAGAAAAGAAAACGGTAAGAATTTTTCAGCCTTGGTAGACAGATTGAGGAGCCTAGGCTTCTGACAGATCATATATTTTCGTGTTTGAGAAATCAAATCCGTCAATTGACCTGAAATATTGCCAAACCCTAAGGATCCCCTCCCTTTTTCAACTACTTTTTTGCTGGGCCGAGTGGTTCATAGTGGACAGTTTCATTTCGCATACAAAATCATAACTATTAAGAAACGCATAAATGACAGAAATCACATAATGGGGTTGAGAAATTTTTGGTAAGGGACATGTACGAAGTCCAACGCTAACGTTAACATCCTGGTCAAGGCTTCCAGTCCAGAAAGACACCTTGGATTGACGACGCTAGATGAAATTGTACACGCAACTATTCATTTCCTAATTGGGCGGTACATACCCATTTAGGCCAAATAAGGGTGTCCCCCGGGAGAAGGTGACCTCGACCAGCTCGACCCTAACTTTATTTCAGTATTACGTTTCTCACCTTTGGCACAAGCAACAAAAGCAGCGTAAAAGTAGATACGACATTAAACGATGTTCCAAACAACGCGAATTTAGCGTCAATATTTCCATGGCCAATAACAAAAGACAAAGGAACAGTGATCAGTGTCATAATAACAACGTTGTAAACACTCATGCCGATATACTTGGAGTCGTTCAGAGAGGCCAAAGTAACATTTCGTGTTTCCCAGGCAAGAAAAAGCCCAATAACCAGGAAAAGAATCTTCCATATCGCCCAGAACATGTACCACAGGCTCCTGTAATTGAGAGTGCAATTTAGAACTTTGCCGTGAGATATCTCCCGGCCATCTGGGGTTGTTTCCTGCAAAAATGTAGTAACAAACTAAAATCACGACCTTTTCTATTATCACCGCACCCTTGTTGAAAAATTCCACTTTTACTATTCCACTATAAGAGTGAGTCTTTCCATAGTATCAATAGAAACGATTACTAATTTGCTGGAGCAGAAAAAGACAATCGTGTTCGAGTACTGATGATTATTTGCGACTGAAAGTGAGAGATTAACCCTGGCAGTAACATAGAGACAACGTGCTGCCTCCATCGTGGAACAAAGCGGGGGAAGCAGATTTTGATCTCTGTTAGTTTAATTTTGGCTACTGTTGATTGTTGCTGTTTCATAGATGTTTATAGCTGACCTGTAATTATCATTAGATTACAAGATCGATTTTAGATTGACGTCACCCACTTTTCTTCACTTCTGTTTAGTACTTGCGCACTCGATTCGTCAGCCTTAGAAGTTCTTTTTTCTGGCAGATGCAGCTTCTAAACTCCGTTAAATAAATAAATAACTCTCTTTGATTTTCACCCTCTCCGGGACGATGTTATCAGTTAGATAGTTAAAAACGTTTTTGCAAGCTAACCTCTTTACCCACCAAAGAACACATTCCTCAGCTCTCTGTTTACATATTTTACTTCTTGGCGATATCAAACAGGTTTTGTTCATTTTCCTTTCTTGTTCATTTCTTGCTAACTTTACTTACGTACCCTGCCTAAATGTTGCACGTAACTTGTAATAGGATCTGCTATTTCCCAAGCTGTAATGTATACCACATCCAAACAAACAAGTCCAAACACAATGGCCAACAAGTGACGATCGTGAAGCATACCCAGCTGGAAAGATAAAGAGAGAAAAGCAACGATCGTTATCTGAGGGAACAAAATTCAATATGTCTAATTATCATTCGATGCAAATTTTTCTTCTTTTTCATTGGTCGAAAGCTAGCCCACCACGTGGCCTGCAAATAAATGCCTAGAAATAGTGGTCTGCTTATGCACAATGTCGTCCAACCGTGTTTGGCTGCGAATAATATTCTGCCCATGCGTAAATGAAACCACGTTTTTCTGCTCCTTGCGGTCGCTCTTGCGTAAAAATGGCAGATCGTTTTACTGACATTTCAGAGAGTGATTTTCATTTAAAAACAAACTCAGTGACCGAATGATAAAACAATTATTGAACTCGGCCTCGCAAAATATCTTGATTTTTCAGTGGTGACTCCACTGACAAATCCTGATATTTTGCTCAACCTCGTCCAATAATTGTTACTTATTCATTGAAAATATTTTCCGATCTGCCAAATTCTTCACTTCATGATACGAAAGTCGTATGAAATAATTGTTAAATAACCAATAGAAACAGTTTTTATTATGCTTTGGTCGATGTACATGGTCGATATTACAATCTATTAGATTTACTTACAATTGAAGACTAACTAAATTAAATGAAAATAATGTGCAAGCTAGGAAGCTAAATGAGCCAGTTGGTTTTCTTGTTAGCTCCCTGAAACCAAACCAACAAAATGAAAACTTCGTTGTCTTTGAAGCCTTTCTCAAAATGGCACTAAGGAAATTAAACTTTAACGTCTTATCTGATATTTATGGCGTCTCCTCTTTTGGTCCATACCTTGTCTTCGATAATTTACTGGGGAACTTTGTTATGTTTTTCACTGACAATTAGTAACATTACAGTGCATGTACCACTAACACGGTAGCGAGAATCAGGTAAAACACTTTTTATACTCCGTCAGGAACTTGAGGTCCTTGAGCAAAACAGGATTGTCATTTACTTAATTAAATGAAACACAAACTAGGAGGTCACTTTTAAAGCTACCTGTTTACAAAGCTGCTTATTGGTAAAAATTTTGTAAACTCTCCAAGTCTTTACAAACATCGTGCCAAAGGCGAGAGTGAAGCTGAGAGAGCACATCCCCCGTCTAACCTATTATAAACAAAATGGATCAGTTTTTGAACAGTTAATATTATAGGTGGCGGTAAGTGATTGATTAAGAGGATTGTTATTAATCTTTTCTCGTAAATTAAAAGCTGAGGAAAACCCGGCTAAGCTGATTGAAAACATCCTCTACTGATTTCCTCTGTAAAGATAAAGGAAGAGGTCTACTTTGATACTCTCTTTATATTGCTTTTTAATTACTTTATGACGTCGCATTCCCTGGGGGAGAATGAGTCAATGATCGCGCTGTTTCGAGTGACGTCAGCGCACTCGATCCAATGCAAGCGCCGAAATACTGAGAAAACCAACCTGTCGTAGCATTGAAAAAATCAGAATTGAAAAAAAGGAACAAAGGCAATTCTGATTGGAACTAAAGAAGTTGAATACCGGTTTAACCTGAAACAGATTTTAGCTACAATATTCACTTACCTTACAGATGACAGTATGTGTACCACGTGACTCAACAAAAGCCTCTGCTCCGTACAAGAACACACAGCAATAAAAAAAGCAAACAGCCTATCACAATGACATTGTTGAGCCTAGGCGATGATTGCCTTATTACACTGAAAGAAAGATACCGTATGTATTCGATTAACCCACCTCGAATAACCGCCCCTATATGTAGGAAACGTTAATGAGCTACCAGCCTCCAATAAGCGCTCACCTACCTAACCCCGCCCGACCCCCCAAACATGACCTTACTGACAAGGACAATGAAATTAAGTGGTACTGATAAATTTCCCCAAATACCGAGTTTTCTTAGTATTTTACAGAAACTTTCCATGGACGGTTACAATTCTGCCTTGGTACATCGCCACGTTTTGTCATTATTTATTGTTTGTTGCCGAATACACTTACTACTTACTGAAAATAGGGAAAAGCGCCAACCTCGAATAACCACCTACTTTCTAGATCCAAAAACTTTTGATAGGCGCCCCGGTCACTCAATCGAGTAAAAATACGGTAATGCTGTCATCAACTGTTATCCCATAATGACAGACTACAACTGCAGTGAAACCTGTTTATAGCAGCTACCTTCTGGGCTTATGAACTGTTGGCCACCTGGTAGAGATAGCCGCTTCATGCAGGATCATAGAAATACTCATTAAGCGTGGTGTTTAGCCGCCGCCTGGTTAGTTCAGTTGGGACAGCACCGGTATGCTGAAAGAGAGGTCGCGGATTCAAACCCCGTTCGGACCGACACTCAGGGTCTTTAAATAACTGAGAAGAAAGTGCTGCCTTTGGGAATGACATCTAAAAAATATTTTAATTAGACTTTCTCGTCTTCTCAGATAATAACTAAAAACCTTAGGTCCTGTCTCACAGCACTTTCACTTTTCTGGTTCTTGAGGGACGTAAAAGAAAAAGAACCCCCACCACTGTTCGAGAAGAGTTTTTGTACTGAAAGAAAATCGGTATAGCTGTACCGGTTTGAAAAGTGCACTTTACGTAGGGTGACCGCCATAGCGGGTCATTATATGTGGTACCACCGTCTTTACTTTCTTGTCTAAAATAGTGGAGCGAATCCCAACCCCGAACACACGAAAAGTCGCCTATACTAATAACTGAGAAGACTCAGCAAACTTAACTTTACAAACAAGATAAAAAAGCTCTTGCTGTAGTCTGTATAATCTATATCTAGCAGCAGTGGGGAAAAATTAAACGAGATAAGAATCTTCAGATACTCAAGAATTAATATTCGAAAGTTTTGTCCTACCGTTATTGGAAAATACTATTGGAACGATCTCCCCATTTCTATTCACAATAAATCATCAAAAATCCTGTTCAAATTGGCACTTAAAAAATATTATCTTGCTCAATATTGACTTATGTGCGTGTGTGTGTGCGTGCGCGCTTGTTTGTGTTTTAATGAATAACAAAGGAAATTTATTTCTGAAAGAAATAAATGGTGTTATGCTTAATGTGACTGATTAATGTGTCATTTCTCCAGTTACTGGGGACGGGGCGTTCCTGCCATCCGGGACATTATATATTGTGTTTTTAAGACATGAAAGCGAGGCAAAAGGCCTCTCTGCTCACTGCTACAAGAAAGTTGGAAAACATTTTTAATAAACGGCCACTCTTGTGGCCAAATTTATCCCAAACATTATTGGGTATCCCAGCAAACAGAGCTCACCCAAAGCAAGACTCCACCAACAGCAATAACTGACTCAATAATACTATCTAAAGGAACATGGAGCATAAAGCTATAATAGAATAAAGTCAATTTTGTTAAAGGGCCCATAATTAGTTTTACCATAATGTGCCCTTCTCCATTCTATCTTTTTTCTTTTTTTTCTTATGTACACGTAGTTTAAACAACCTTGAACTAATTAATATCGTACAACTAATGTATTATCTATAGGATGGAGTAAAAATAAAGTACAAATACAAATTAAGATAAACATGATATTTTAACATGCGTTTTTGGAAAACAGAAAAGGACTGAAGAAAGATGATCTAGATGAGAAGCCTGCAAATACAGCCGTCCCTTTTCGCTACTCGCCACTCGGCTAGCAGAAGACAGCGAGGGAGAGACGGCTGTATTTGTAGGCTATTGATGAAGGAGACGGGAGAGGACAAGCCCCTCTACGTTACAAGGAATTACTTGTTTATTATATCTTCTTTGAATATTTGCAAATGTCATCAGGCACGTTGAGTACTTGCCCCTGCGGTAGAATATGGAAGTATCTGATTTTCTATCACGATCTTTGCTTCTTCAAGAATGTAGTTACCTGTGAAACCTGAAGTGATAGTTGACAAAAAGTAATCCAAAAGCTGTGAGCAGCCCTGTTGCAGCCACGGAACTCATCACATAAAACAGCGTCAAGTTTGTCTTGATTAAACGTTCGTTTAAAGGATCCTTGTCTTTGGGAGGTTTTCCATCTGAAGAAGATATTAATTGAGTTTTCACAACAAAATGTTACTATTGTTTATTCGCAAATCATCAGCAGCATCCTCGAAGTAATAATGATTGTTATATTCTCATTTTCATTATTATAACAAGTAAGATCGTATCAGGCCATTATAATAGTCATCCAGTAGGAGCGCGGTATTTTCAGTACGGAAATGACCTAACTTATTTTGTAAGTTATCACAAAGAAGTATGGCTTCGCCTTCACCACGCAAGTGGTCGATCAATAGTTATCTTAATAAAATTTAGTGGTACCCGGGATACATAGATACAGTAGATGTGTCTAGGACTAAGCCCTTAATTAAAATCCTTAAATTGAACTTGGCGTGCATGTTTGCACCAGTCTGGAACACAATGCATAGACAGAATTGAACTTTGAACACAAGACAGGCCTAAACTAAAATTTCCTATTTTCCGAAACAAAATTTCGACTAAATGCGTGAAGGCGACCTAGATGTGCCTGAGTTCCTACAGGCCCCAATTATTCCAAGGGTGGATAATAACGCTTTCCACTGCATAAATCTCTATCCAGTGAATAAATTACGCGATGGCTTTTTTAGCAGAGCTTCCACAGCTATTAAGAGAAAATGGAAAACTATCGATGCGAGAAAATATGGTTATGACGTCACCGTACGTACGTTCTTTCCGGGTAGGGGAAAGTAGAAACAAATTCATCCCCTCTCCCCAAGAGAGTTTTGGTCCCTCTTGTTTCAAAAGGCTTTAGAAATGATTGACAGATCAGAGTCTATCTACTGAGTAATAATAATAATAATGAACTTTATTAAAGTCTCATGTCTTATCGCTCAGCCACAGTGCCTTACTAATTGGAGAGAATGTTTGGTGGATTTTAGCGGCCGACCATTTGACTTTTGAGGGGGTTATGGGTGATTTTAGAAAAAACATATCCCGCAGACTGATTTCGAAATAACATCCAGCACTTACAAAAATATCACTCAGGGCGTATAATGCTGAAAAAAAACTTTGGATCGTTATATGTTATGTTATGTTATGTTATGTTATGTTATGTTATGTTATGTTATGTTATGTTATGTTATGTTATGTTATGTTATGTTATGTTATGTTATGTTATGTTGTGTTATGTTATATTGATCACAAAGTTGACGTTATTCCGCCATACCTGGCCATGTGAAGTTCTCTCCAGCGAAGAAGGTGAGTTCTCCCTTTCTTAAGTTGTGACGTTCGGGATCAAAGTAACCCACTTTGACTTCTTTATCTCCTAAAAAGTTATAATAAGTTACTAGGTTACTTACTTTAATTTATCAGCAGCAGAGTCTAAATTTACTTGAGTTTTCAAACAAATGACTTAATTGGTTAAGTGTGATTTTTACAGTCTACAATTCTTTATTGAAGGCTTAAGTTACCTTGAAACTGTTTAATCCAAATCTTGTTAAGTCTTTCTTGGTTTTTATCGAACTTTATGAATCCCTGAAACCAAACCAACTGGTTAACGCTGTGACCATAAACTTAACAAGTAGTGATGGTTGCTTGGAATGGTTCAGAATGCTTACTAGAACTTGGCAGAAATAAGACGTGAAAACAGTCCATGAAGATAGGGGCAGTGCACACCTTGTATTTTTTTTCAAGGTGAATAATGACATTTATTTAATAACTATGAATTTGGCCGCTTAGGCTTTTAGTCAGTTTAAAAAATATTCTGTTTGGTTGCTTATGAGCAAACAAAAGGGAATGTTTTTAGGGAAGAAAGTGTTACTTAATTCTATCATACTGATATGAAGAGTAAAGGAAAATTCAATTCCCAGGTTGGAAATACGTATTATACACAAGCTTTCGATTCCATAGCGGAATCTTTAGCAAATAGTAATGGCGTTCCAAAGTTAATGCTTGTTTAATAGGTCTTTTACCCCGAAAATTTCCCACTCAAAACCCGCATTTCAGATATTAAAGAACAGACAAAATAGGAGAACGACACGTACAAAAACCACATTCCTTACTAAAAAAAGTCGAATTTTTCGCCCTTGAATTATTGGTCTTAGGATCTAAGCAATATCACAAAAATATTAGAGAAACATAAACAAAGCCATGCGTACCGAGATTCCAGTCAAGTTTGTTCGTAAGAGCACACTGCGTAATTCCTGTCTAATGCTAGCACTCTTGTACGAGAAGTTACCAAGAGACATGTTCTTTTCTTTTAGCTGCATCACAGTTTTCTCCAGAGCCGAGGCTAGTACCCAGGCCGAGTCATATCCAAAGACAGCATAGGAGTTGTTCGGGAAGGAGTAATTTTGAAGCTCTGCTTCATACATCGTTAAAAACTCGTCTTCTGTCTAAAGTGAACGAATGATACGAAAATTAAAGGAATCATAACTTGTACTCATTCATGTCATCGGGACTTGCCGTAGCAAGAGGATTCCCACTTTACTATCCTACATTCGTCTCTTCCATTCATAGATGGGGTAGTGCGTGTCTTCCACCAGTTGGGAAATAAACAGCTCACAATTTTCAATTTATCGTTATCATCATTGTTTGTTTGTTTTGTTTTGTTTTTGTTTTTTGTTTTTTTGGAGTGGCCTTTCTTCAAACCTAGAAGAATATGCCTTGAATACCAAAAAACGGCCGACAAAAAGTCGGCAACCTTTCAAACCTTTAAATGTTAGAAGACACTAGAAATTGATCAGAAACGTTCGCATAGACCGCGTAAATCTCTTTCGGAAACTTATTGCTGCTTATTAAACAGAATAAATGAGACTCGTGGATGACAGCTTGTACATGTGTAGCTCATTGCTTAGTTGAAGATCGGAGGTGGAAACCTTAATCGCGGGTAACAGCTGCTTTAATTATCTATATGGTGGTAAAAATTAAAAACGTCTTACCAGGCCACTGAGGGTGTTAGTTATGTTATTTATATAACCTTCTTGAACTGCAAGAAAGTTTCTCGCCACCCGTCGAATTTCCTCCACCGAGCAGCCCGACAAATTTCTAACTTTCCACCAGTCTTTACTGTACCATCCGGGGATGATCCATTGAATATGAGATCCGAAAAAGTTTTGACGATGAGCCTTTTAGACAAAACAAAAATGTTTTGGTTACCACACAGCAAAATGTACAAAGGCCCTTTCAGTTAAAACCTCTAAACAGTAACTCTCTAGCTGACCTTGGACAAGAGACTAACTTAGAACTACTGAACCTTCACTGTTGGCTAAAAGCCAATAAGCTTAGTCTTAATGTTGCGAAAACCGAGTTTATGGTTATTGGCTCTCGCCAGAAGCTTCTCGCGGAAAGCCATAAAGAAATAAACATCAAACTAGAAGACCAAGTTATCAGCAATGTTGATCACGCAAAATCATTAGGTCTCATTATCGACAATCGGCTTTCCTGGTCTAATCATGTTAACGAATTGTGTAAGAAGGTAACTTCGGCTATAGGTGCCCTTAGACGTATCAGGCCCCTTATCTCCCAATCTACTGCGGTACTAGTCTATAACTCCTTAATTCAACCTCACTTTGATTACTGTAGCCTCGTTTGGGATGGCTTAAGTGATCAACTGAGTGACAAATTACAAAAGTTACAGAACCGTGCAGCTAGAGTAATTTTAAAGACCAACTATGGGACTAGCTCGAGCCTGCTTCTTGATATACTCAAATGGGACAAATTAGTTATAAGGAGAAAGAAGCATAAACAATAATGATGTTTAAATCTCTAAATGAACAAACTCCAGTGTACTTGCAGAACCTATTTCCCGAACGAAGCACAGACTATGATTTGCGCAATTCCTTTCATAAATTGACGTTGCCCAGGCCGCGTACTAACTACTTGAAACGAAGTTTCAGTTACAGCGGTGCTTTGTTGTGGAACTCTTTACCCGAAAATGTGAGAGAAAGTAATTCAGTCAGGAAATTTAAAGAGCAAATCAAACATGTATTTGAGTCGTTGGACTCTCACTCGGCAGTCTTGTAAAACAGTATGTCGATAGTTTTTAGTCTAATTAATTGTGATTAGATTTTTACTCTATTATTACTGAAGATTTTACCGAGTTTTAAATAAAGAATCTACCTACCTACCTACCTACTCCGAGGAGATGATCTATTAATGGGACACAGAGGGATATGTGAATTTCACCAAAGTTATTTTTAGATCGATTAATCGGAAGTTGGTGTCCGGAGGGGTCGGCAAACTTTCATTAAGTCTTGTCAAGATAGAACAATGAGGGACACTATCATCATCATCATTTTTTATTAGCCTTTTTTTTACAGCAAAAATTACAGGATACAGCAGGTTGTTAGGCGAGCAGACCTCAAGAAACCACCAGGCTTATATAGAGAGGCCACGTCGACATCACAATATTATAAGAAACAAGGGCTTCGAAGAAGTGCGACTAAACTGATTTAGTAACTATTTTAATAAAGACTCTAGCACTTTGTTCTTAGAGATAGAAAAGCTTGACAAGTTTGGAACAGATGCAGGAAGACAGTTCCAGGTTCTAGGTCCTTGGTAAAGAATTGTGAATTTCTTGATGTTCGACTACGACAGGAATGCACGCGATAATTACTAGCTGTTCTGGATAAAATACGACTGATTTAGCGATTTGTTTACAGACAAAGTTTGTGTGATATTTATGTGATATGTTTATTTGTCCCCCTTGGTGAGTCACCATTACAGTATTGTTCATTTTTTTTGCTTTGAGGCAGTCGCGCGTGAACTTGATAAGTTTCAAACAAACTGTTAAAATATGCGGACGACCCAGGAATTGTAGTTCCGTTTAATCAGTACAAAACTTCTAAAAAAGACTTCAGTGAAATTCACATATCCCGGCCAAGGCCCTAAGATTCCCTTTCTGCCCCATGCATTATTCTGTATTCTGTATTGTTATTACTGAAGACATTAGGGAGCTTAAGCAACGGCGTTTTGAGCGACGCACGTCAACCGGAAGTGAGGTCTTTTTCATTTTAAAGCACCTTGACGCTCCCAAATTTGTATTTCTAAGTGTCTTAACTATTATAGAGACAAGTTGTCCTAGAAAATGGGCAAAACCACTGTCCAAAAATGGAAAAAAAACCACTTCCGGTTGACGTGCGTCGCTCAAAAACGTCTTTGCTGAAGTTCACTATTATCTCTTCTGGATAACTGCATGCCTTCTGGATAACAGCCTCTTAGATCAGCTAGATTCTTTACATCATACGACAGCCGAACTACGCTAAAAATATGATAATTACGATAAAAAAAATAAACCATGTTTTCTAGAGGACCATGTACAATGTACATGCGCCATATTTATTCCATCAAAAAATAGGACAGAAAAATGCATTTTACTTGAGTGTCAATGTGTTTGGGACTAATTGAAGAATCTCCTTCAGTGGGGACGGGACCACCATTTTACGTGATCATCCGAGCCACGCGAAGGTCCAGCCGTTTGTAGGACAAAGGAAGTACCTTTATTTCTCCGTTATTTAAAGACCATCAGTAATGGCCCGGCCCTGGGAATCGACCCCTCAACCTGCCACTCTGTCATGAGCTCTACCGACTGAATTTCTTTAACAAAACGCTTTGACCGCCGTGCTTTACATTCAGTTCATTATAATAGCATTACATACCTCACACATGACCATTCTCGATTTGTCCTCGTACATCAAGATGACAATAATACGAGCTCTTCTATCCTGTGAGAGAAAAAAGAGGACGAAGTAATTAACAGATTCTAACTAATCGTGTCTTGAAAAAGAAGTTTTCTTTAAGTAGAAGGAACTTTTTTCTGCTCAGCGCTAAGTGGTGTTTCGCGTAACATTTTGCGCTAGCTTTCGCACGGAAAATGCAATGATGATCTCAGCGAGTCAAAACCCTCTGACGGCTACACCGCACGCTTACGCTCGCTCCCCTACAGGACAGCCATATTTAGATCTTTCAGGTTAGTAAAACTCACAAAAAGGGGTAACAAATGCTGTCAGCAATTTTTGGCCTTCTTCATTGATTCACAATATATCTACCCAGCGTCCTGCTGGTAGCGTCAAACAAATAACTAAAAAAATAAGCTTTTATAGTTGTTAAGTGTGTTAGATTTCTTTCTCCACTATTAAAGATGAGCGTTTTAGTATGGTGTTGCTGGCCGAAGATGAAACACGTCCAGCGGTCCAGTTTATAGTCTTAACAGTCTTCTGTTCAAGAACGAAAATGTTCGCCCCTTTCTTCAATTCTCAAGGGCACGTTGTTAAAAAAGCAACACTCCCTGCCACATATTACACAACTTCAGTTTTTCCAAAGATTCTCTTACATATTCTCCTTCAAGTAAAAAAATGACTTGAACTCGGGTCTAGAATCCATTGCTTCACCACAATGTGGTTTCTCACCAAGGGCACCTAAAAAGGACTACTGTGCTCACAATGGTATCCATTTGATAGAAAATTCACCATTTCCACCCTCCTTGAATTTGCTCCTTGACATTCACGACTCGTTTCCAGAAATCAAAACGGCCTTTAAATATTTTTTTCAAGGACCCGACACCTTGCCAAAACTGTCCATGACCATACCTGCTCAAGACTGCCAGCGGTAAATGCTTTTAGAAACTGAGATGAGGCTGCAATGGTGTATAGAAGTAGAAGAAAGCTAGCTTGAGAGAATGTGACTGTGATTTTTAAAATGACAGGCGAATTATGAGAAATATAGGACGGTTTAAAGACGGAACTTCCGATTTACCCTCGTACTTTTGATACCTTAAGATCAGTTATGACGTTATCTGGAACCTTAACAAAGCTGTTTGCAGCAATGACGGATATCCCTTCTTTTTTTAACAGGGTCTGGAGACGCTCGTGCACCTGATATAAAACAGAGAACAAAGTGGATTTCTCGTTACTCTAAAATCAATGTAAAATATTGGCGCCAAGTCAGTCATAAACAAGTAAAATCTAGACGACTTTATTGTTTCTTTTACTCTCTATGAGTGGTGGCCTAGCATGTGTAGTTTGTTATCTTATTAGGCTGATTTAGCAACAGGACGTGAACGTCATTTGACGGCGGGAAAGCGCGCGGAAAGGATTAAACTCGACTTCCGGTGCCCAATTTGCCGCTCTGCTATTGGTCAAGCCAGTTGTTTGATTTGCGCGCGCCGTCTTCAACTGACGTTCCCGTTCTGTTGCTAAATCAGCCTATTGCCCAGTCTCAAAACGTCTAGAATAGGGAAGATGAGATATTACAGAGACTGCGTATCAACTTACGTCGTTGAAGAGATCCTCGTCCTGTTTTACAATTGCAATTCGCTTCCAGTTGAATCTGTGCATAAGTGAAACAGCAGCTTTGTACAGAGTGAATTCTGGGCCGTTAACCCGGAAGAATAACGGATATCGACGTTTATCAGAAAGACTAGAAGAACCGGCACTGAATCCCAACTGAAATGACAATGAATTTGATGTAATGTATGTGTTAAGTATTTTCCCTTAGTTTTTCGCTAATTAACCCTATGGCATTGTAAGTCTAGGGGCGGATCCAGGATTTTTTTTAGGAGGGGGTGCACTCGTCTCTTGCTCTACTTCAACACCAATAAACCACATAGTGTTTTTTTTTGCAGTATACCAGTTGTATTAGAAAACCGAAGGTCATCTCGGTGGGGGGGCGCCCCCTGCACCCTCCCCCTAGATCCGCCCCTGAAGTCCTACCTTAGCTGTTTTAGGCTCTAAGATAGTGGGGTTTGGCGCGAAAGAGAGGGGAAGACGCGAAAGTGAAAGGTACGCGAAAAGGGGGACGGGGCGTTGTTTCTTCATGTTCGCGCTTTCTCAATCCCCGCGGACCCGACTATCTTGGAGCCTGGAACAGGCTAGTCCTGCCTTGATTTATATCAACAAAGGTCTTAGTGGACAATCATACAGTTCTTCAGAGGCCATACCGATTTTTTTAAATCGCCTTAAAAGTGATTTTGTCCTTGTCCGATCGGTATAAAATTTTTCACCACTGACTGACTTTGGATTTAAGTTTGTCAAAATGCAGTTTTAAGTAAAATCGATATTATTATGACAACAATCAACAAAAATCTTTGCATAACGATAGACCTGATATAGAAAATCCGACACCAGGAACTTAAAGTGAGGTATTTAGCAAAAATAACATCCGTGAAAAGTAAGTAAGCAAGTGCACTTGAAAATCTTAAGTTGCTCTGTAGAAAACATGGCTTCACACTTCTTGACAGAGTGTATTACTTGAAGTAAAAGCGGTCAATCTCTCCGTTCATTAGAATCTTTGTACCGCTGCACGTGCACATAGCTTCCATTTCCTATTGGTCTAGTGTGTTCTCAAGGGTGGTGTAGCCCATACTTGGCGGCGAACATCGGCTTCTTTGAACTACGAACGTTTCCATGGTCACCAAGTAAAGTTGAAGTAGGCACATTTTACCACTTCATGCTCAAAGTAGGTTCCAAGTACACTTAGATTATACTTGAAGCTCTAGTGTGAAGCCAACAATTGTTAATATTCTACACTCAAAAGATGCAATAAACGTCATACTGAAATGTACTAAAGTCATGGAGGAAGGCATGGTGCACATTAATTTGGAATAATTTTGAATTTGAAATATTAGCATAAACAGGATTTTTGGGTTCGTAGGCTGGGTTCTTCTTGAAACTTCAAGATGTTGCAGTGAATCAATCTTAATGAAGATTTCACACATTGTTATATACGTCATTCAGGATATACCGATGGAACAAGAATAAAATCACGTTAAAGGCTATCGAAAAATATCGGTATGGTCTCCGAAAAACTGTCACCTTAAAAACAAAATAAACTAAAATATGATGACTATGTTTAAAACCGGTCTTAGGCTCGTTTCAAACGTCGGTCTACTGCAGTGCCGAACTCAATTGATCGCATTAAATTCGACTTTAGCACGGCAGTAGTGCGACGTTTGAAACCAAGTCGTGTTACCGCGGTGCCGAGCCCAATTCATAAATTATAAATACATTAGAAAAATATTTAAAAGTTTGCTAAACCGTTTCTTTATTTTTGTGTTTTGTTTTCGGCAACAGCCATTCTATTCGACTGAATTAATTTCGACGTCTGAAATCAAGTCGTGCTAGTGTTGTGCTGCAGTCGAGCTGCACACCAGTCGAGCCAGCTTAGCAGGGCTGTAGCACGACGTTTGAAACAGGCCTTAGCTTAGATAATTGCGTAAAAAAGTTAAGCGGTTGTCCTCGTCTCCTTGTCAAAAAAAACCGCGCTGTCCAGAACGAATTTGGAAATGGGACAGTGTACCTTGGTGAGCCAAAGGGAAAACAATGGAGAACATTTGTTGGAGGTCGTGACTGTTCTCACAAGGGAACTTAAACACCAGACGTTCTTGGTACCGCGGACGCCAACCGGAAGTATTATTGCAGCATGACAGCTACTGCGCATGTCAAGAAGTTCTTGGGCTGCGGTCACGGACTTCAAAACGCGAGTTCTCAGGTTGAAACCAGAGGTTCAGAAACGTGAGTATGAAGACAGTTAAAATTGTTACATTTGATGTCCAATATAACAGTTTTCAATCCCTGTAAGTTCTTTTGTCATGTTAGAACTTTAAAAGCGTAGTAGACGTAGACATTTTCAATTGAATTATTCTGTCGGCATTCGTGAAGGTTTCACGTTGGTTTGCATAATGATTTCCATTTGGCGTGTAAACCGGGTCCCGATCCAGTTGTGCGCGGCCAGCCATGCCGTTCGTGAATCAAGAACATCTGGCGCTTAAGTTCCCTAATTTTACCACTACGCGAACCTTTCCCCTTTATAAAGTGATCTACCCAAGACTAGAATGCCCCGACCAAGCCACCTCCTAAAAATGGAAACTTCCCTTGTTAACTGGGTCTGCTCCTTACACTGCTTACTATACTCATGGCTCTTGGCCAAATCTCTTCATTGGGTGTTGTAGCCATCCGAAACCAGCTTGATCAAAATTCTCGACAAATTGACAGTAATTATAAATTGACACCGGTAAAAAGCTATTGCATGTGACAAACCTAGTCTCACTCGCAGCCACTTTTGTCGCGTCACGCAAGGCTAAGGAGGAACGTTGCGTGACGAGACAAAAACGACTGCAAGGGAGACTAGTGACAAACCTGAATCAAGTTCCAAAAGTGTGAGGCAGCCGCCACAAGCACTGCTGAGATAGAACATCCGGGACCTATCAATGCTACTTTGGTCGGTGGTTTCCGTAGGTGCTCAACGAGGGCTTTGATGGCGTAGGCATCTGAACACTAATACAAATATTATATACTAATACAATGCTTATATATAGCGATTATCATAACGTCTCTAAGCGCTGTACAATTCTAATGGCCAAGTTTTAAATCAAGGACCTACTAATAATTAATTGCAATCCTATACCTTTCGGCCACCACTACTCTAAGCTTTTTATCAATACTTGTTAGAATCGCATAATTAAGTAAAATCTCGCATTCTGATTGGTTAACGAAGCGAGGTATTTAGTGTGGAATTGCGAGTTGAAAACGAGGCTAAGCGATATTGTTTCGCATCTACGTAACAACTATCGTCAAATTCTAACACAACAACATGCAAAAAAGGTTTTCTACAATGTCATTTTAAAATGTTTTCAAAACCATTCATTGTCACTTTTTGAAGAGTTAAAAACAAACAAAAGCGTTTTTTAAAGTGAGCCGGAGGTTCTTCCTTGTTTTGAACTGAACTACAGATTCTCGAAGAGACATAAAACCTCTTTCACTCGCGACAACCAGAAAACAAGAAAATCCAGTGAACAAGGTCCAGAAAATGGCAATCCAAAGTTCAACTAAACAAAACGGAGAAGCGACAACGGAGGAAGTGCCGGGGTCGATTGTCCCATATACAGAAGAAGAAATAAATACCTTCAAAGAGGACATGGCCCCTGAAAACACGAAAAAGAGTACGCCGCTTGCAATCGTCCTGAATCGTGGTACTTAGAAAAGTACAAAACAGAGCTGAACTTGAACAGCATTTCTAAAACATTTCAAGGTACTTACCTTATGTCAATCGCGACGTTAAACATGTTAAACTTTCAGTGCTTTCGCTTGGACACTTGATTTCTTTCAGTTTTGCCGCCGAAGAGGTAAAAGGTGCAAATTATTTTCCTTCTCGAGCAAATGACCAATTTGAAAAAAGACGTTCTACATAAACGGCTTCTAAATTCAGTAAAATACCTCTATTTATCCTTACGATTAGTGTGAAGCTTGTTTACATGTAAAAAAGTTTGAAAACAAATGTGAAAACAAGCACAAGGTACAAAAAAGTTATCGAAGGTTCAAACGTGTACGACTGACCTTGCTTCCTATTCGCTAACGCAATGACAGTTCTGACAGTTGACTTTGAAATGGCTTTCTGGAGCGCGCGCTCAGGATAAAAACAAACAATAGATATTATTGCTGTTTTCTTTTTTTTCTTCTGATTTTTATTCAATTATGCGATTCAAGGAAAATTCATTACCTGACTCGAGAATTCCACGTTAAATTGCACTTGAAAACCGATATCGCACTCATCGCTTCGCGATTCGTGCGATATCGGTTTTCGCGTGCAATTTAACGTGGAATTCCCTCGTCAGGTAATGAATTTTCCTATAGAATGAGGTGAGATCAGACACCGATTCATGAAAAACTTGTATGAGGTACACCTTCCATTTTTAAATCTCTAATACTAAAACAAATTGATCTTTATTGTAAAACCATTTTAACACAATACACATAGATGAAAATATATCATGATATCATTTTTGGGGGGTATCGGAATAAGTATCATGTGATAATGATGTCACATTAGTTTTGGCTCTAAATAGAATTTCAGCGCTTATCGGCATTTTCGTTGGAAATGCATTACGGTACGTGTACTTTGGTTGCTTGTCTTCTGCTGTGCGAAGTTTCACTAAAATGTATAGGAGAAATTACGAGATATATTTGAATTTCTTCAAATAGGGTATAAATTATGCAAATTCCTAGGCAGTAAGTCCTGTCTTCAGTTCATGCACATTTCTTACCCTTTTTAAAGAAATGCCAAGATATCTCGAAATTTCTTTTCTTCGTACAGCAGAAGACAAGCACCCAAAGTACACGTACCGTAATGCATTTTCAAAGAAAATGACGATAAGAGCTGAAATTCGATTTAGAACCAAAACTATTGTGACGTAATTGTCACGTGATATTTAGTCGGATTACCCAAAAAATAAAGTTATAACAAATTTTCATCTATGTGTAATACATGTGTTAAAATGGTTTTACAATAAAGATAAATCTGTCCAAGTATGAGAGATTCAAAAATGGAAGGTGTCGCTACCAAAATAATGCCCCTGGACAAAGCTAGAGACGACTTCGGCAAAACAACTGTGTGAAAAATTGGTTCCAAAAGCTGTAATGTCGCAATTTCTAATAATCATCGCACTTTGTAATACCAAATCCATCGCACATCTATCGCACTTTGAAACACCAGGTCGACAAAGTTTAGTAAAACATGTATCATTTTGTAATAAAAAAAACTGTCCCAATTTGGGTGGATGATTTAATAAACAGTTAGCAAGGATACGTATGAAGGCATTTCAATGGAATCACCTAGAACTGATATTTGGACCAGAGGAGAGCCTGAGATTTGCCGGGTTTCAAACCAGGTGACTAAAATTGGGGCTGTTCCTCTTGGTTCCCGGAAATCAGTGCCTGGCTAACGGCTCAAATGGTGTTGCGTTCACACCTTGACTACCATATATGTGACTTTGTACATAAATACTACATTTCGCCTTGTCAGACGCCATTTTAATACATGATCTTAGCAGCGAGTACAAAGCAGAGGACGTCCTGAGAATTAAGTAACAAAAACGGTGTGCGCACAGGGACCTGATGCCCACTTTTGTGCCCAAGTACAAGGACTCGACCTTGTACTCGGGCACCGGCACCGAGTACAAAGTAGGTTAACATCCATCGAGCTACATGTTTTACTTATTCTTTCGTTTTTTCCAATCAGTTAAAGACAGAAATTCAGTTATTTCGTCATCGAGTAGCAGTGTACACCATTTCAGTTTTAGTTCAGTGTGGCCCAAGCAGCCTACAATTGTAGTTTCCAATATGCCATTGATCACTGATTGATCAACCTCCTTTCCAAATATACCATCGAATCGATGGCATATTGCTCGCATCTTCCGAATAAAATATGGTAAGCGCCATCATACAAAGTGGGATGCGGTTTATTACAAATTACGACAGTGCTACTACAAAGCGTAATTATCACTTCAAAGTTCGACAGTACAAATGAAGTAGAGATACTTTGCAAACTATAATAACCGACCTTATCAATCATTAGCTATTTTAAGCCGGTTTAATTTCCTCTTTTGCCTCAAGTTATCCAGCTTCTTACTAGCAATTTTTTTTGCGAGCAGCTTTTTGGCTATTTTATTACAGATCTAATAACATGTGTGGCAAAGTCACTGCCTCGAAGTACGGTACTCGTTTACTCAAGTCTACTTTCATGGATTACTGGAACCTATCCACTAATCCCACGTAAAAATAGAGAAAGTCGTGGCCATAATTAAGGTTTTACATGTCTGATTCTTGTCCGATATTTTTAATAAACTTGCGCCATCAATTTCTCCAAAATTACTTACATGCAAAATGGTAGATCATTAGGTATTCAAATAAAAATCGACTGTTCACACCTGGTATTAGCCGCTTTCATTTATTTCCGTTCCCATCCAGATCCTATCCTATCCATTTTTAATACTCAAATTATGAAAATAAAACTTCGTTCAGTTTGGTTCGTGATCCAAGAAAAACGATCTGTACATTCCTTTTCATAAATATGCATCATCATGATTGAAATTTCGTCTTGTGCAAAACATGAGAGCTCTTGGAGCAGTAATTTATCTCACTCCCAAAAATTAAAACGAGAAAAAAAAACGAAAGACAAAAAGTGAGGTGTTCATTGAATAATCCTTGCAGTCGTCAAGTTAGAAAGAAGCTCTCTTTCATTACCCTGGCCAAAATTTCTGAGTTAATAAAGGTTTGTAATTTTAAAGAAAGGGTAAGTGAACTACGTATTGAAACAAGACACTGACTTATAATCCCGTGAATTAACTCGAAACAGACTTGCCGAGCGCGTCAGCCAAAGATTGTGTTCCTGGATATAGCGGCACGAGCCATGACATGTCTTCAACCAGTAGAGACGCAACCGAGGGGTAAAAGCTTTTAATTTCTAGAGTTTGCCTTACAGTTGGGGAGCTTGAGCAACGACGATGGCGACGGCAACAAGAACGGCAACGAAGCAAAAGGATATTAGCAAAACAACAACTTTGCAGTGACGTGCAACACGTTTTTTTTTGTACATTTTTTTGCCGTCGTTGCACAACTACACCATGAAAGTGCCTAATTTAACGTTTTGTCGAGGACGGGAACACAAGACAGCAACTTTCTTTTTCTTTTCTTGAACTTTGATACAGTCCTTTAGAATTTAACTCCAAAAAAATTCGCCAACATTTGACGAACTAAACGAGATGGAATAAGCCCTTTAAAGTTTGAGGCAGCGCGAAATTTACTTTTTAAGTGACGTTTTCGTTGGCTGTCCCCGTCGTTGTTGCTTAAGCTCCCTATTACGGTTACGGCAACGGCCCTGTTATGATATTTAAGTTGAAAAATTCCAAATCGTTAGAGGAAAGTATGCAAGCTATGGTACTTGGCACAACTTATAACTCAATAAGGTGAAACAAATTACTCGATTTCATATCTTCCTGTTTGATACTTTGTTTTCAATTGTTTTTTTTTTTCACCTTGTTTTTTTTTTAAGATATTTAGCCGAAATAGGCTTACCTTTGTATCCTTCCAATGTATCTGAATAGTATGATTTGGTAAAATATCTGTCCTGTTGTTGATGTGCTTTATTGCTAGGTCAATAGCAGGCTGTACACCAGCGCTATTCCATCCTTTGTCCGAGGTATTTACTTCAATAAAGCCTCCTATGTGCAACACAGTCTTCTGCGAGGAGACTGCAGTAGTCATGGAAATAATCATAGAGACCTTGAAAAACAATACCTGCAATTCCATTAGCTAAGCCTCAGTGAAAGCCGCTACTTTTTTAGTTATTCACTCATTTGTGCTTGTATGTTGAATTACGTCGACAAACCGTCCTCATTTCTCGCCACCTGTTTGGTTTGGAGTAGATAGAATTAACATAAATTTCCCTTTTAACCTGGTAGCTTTTACAGACACGGTTTTCATAAGATACAGTTCTTCTTCTATCCTATAATTACACAGCTGCAACACAGGCTGGTCCCTTAAAACGATGGCAAAACTAGTTTTAAGTGTGGGGCCGCCAACAGCCGGCAAAAACTACTGTGTGGCGAGAATTTTGTCACCGAGCAAAGAAAGACATTTAGACAGAATCCATCAGGAAATTGAGTAATTTTAATTTTCAGTAGACAAAACTTTTGTAGCAGAATAATTTAAACAATATTGCACCCTTTTTTGCATTTTTAAAGGGCTAAAGATGTAATTAGTCATCTGAAATAACACCAAAGAAAATGTCTCATGGGAGTCCGAGAAAATGAATGTCAAATTTCACAGGAATTGTGAAAACACAGGTAAAATTTATGCGGCTATATATCTATATTGTTGTTGCGATCTAGACCTACAGGTAAAATTCTGAAGATTTCATGTGTAACATATCATTTTGTGAAATTTGACATTAATTTTCTGGGGCTCCCATGAGAAACTTTCTTTGATGTTATTACAGACGACTAATTACATCTTTAGCGTTTGAAAAATGTAAAAAAGAATCCAATATTGTTTAAATTATTCTGGTACAAGGTTTTTGTCCACTGAAAATTGAAATTATAAATTTTCTGGTGGACTCCGTCTTCCCGAGCTGCCAATCAAGCAAAAAGCATCTTGACACAAAACAATTAATGTAACACCAATCCCCAAACGACACGCTTTTTTTTTACTAGTCGACGAAGGCCTCTTTTGCACTATTAGGTTTTTTCCTCTGGAATTTAAAAGGTAAAACATGGCCAGTGTTTTTCTTAAACACCAAAAGTTAAACTGCCTGCCATTACTCTTTTCGACACTTTTTTTCTGTTCTCTTTTTTTAATATCCTTCTTTCCCCAATTGTAAATAAGACGACTTGTACACAATATAATTTGACAAAGTATTTTATTTAACAATTAGTTCATACGTCGGCGTGCGTATGTCGAGATATTAAGCATGCGGGAAGTCTGGAAAGCACGAAAGAGGCGTAAGAGTTGCTCAAGGCGCAGCCTCTTAACTGCTCTCCAAACTTGCCAAGTGCTCACTCAATATCTTGACATACGCACTGCTACATCATGAAATAATTGTTTTATAACATTAATTAACAAAACGATCATTGCAGCAGTAACTTGAAATGTTTATTGTAGCGCGCGCTCAAAGCAATACGCGTCAATGCCAACGTGACTATACTTTTTTACCTCGTAGTTATGCTTTTGTCTAGAAACTAAGAGAAAGTTTACTCAAGTTGCTTAAGATAACATTAAAAATGATTGCAAAATCCAGACTGAGGTGCCGGAAAACTATTAATTTACCGAAAAATTCGTTTTCAAGGAAACAACTTTGCAAAGAATGATTTGCACACGCCATATATAGCCCGCACAGCTCGCGCAGATGACAACAACAACAACACTCACCTCTTTCCCCCAATATCGGTTAACAAATTCAAAAGTTTTTTCTTAAATGTACGTTATAAAACACATGGTTAACGCTTCATCATGCCCTGTTGAGTTATGGACGCACTTGGGAGACGTCTTGGGAGGATTGCTATTAAGCTCACAAGAACTCGAGGTAAGTTTATTGACGTCATCACTGTGCTCAATGGGAATTTATAAAATAGCTAAGATAGTACGCGCGCTCTGATTGGCCGAGAGGCGTGTTTGCATGAGAATATGTAAACATGGTTGTGACGTCAAGATGTTTTGCTTTTCGCGCGCTAATCACGTAAGCACAAATTTGACAAAGTTTTTGACTTCAAAACTCGACAAGGTTACTTTATTTACCCATTCCTTCGTCGGCTGAAACTTGGAAAATCTTTATAAACAAGCAGTGTCAATTTTTTTTCGCTAAAGCTGACATTTTAAACGAGAAAAATACGTATTTTGGAAAGCATCTTTTTGCAAAACGAGAACTGATTACGCGAGCAAGACTTCGCGTACAAGACTTTGGGACTGGTAAGAATTTTTGTTTTAATCAGTACCATAACAAAGAGTTTTTGAGTTTTTTCTCGGTAAAGTTATGTTATAAAACCAATAGAAAACTTTTTTCCTGTGTTTGCATAGCCTGATATAAACACTCGACGGGTTGGGAGAATTCTCGACAGTTATGCAAACCCTCGACTTCGTCTCGGGTTTGCATAACCGTCTCGAATTCTCCCAACCTCTCTCGTGTTTATATCAGGCTGTGCAAACACGGAAAACGTTTTCTATCGCTTAAATCGAGCACGCTCGCGCTATTGAATTTCATTAGGCGAATATTCTAGCTATGTTATTTAGGCAATAGAAAACGTTTTCTGTGTTTGCATAGCCTGATATAAACAGAAGAGAGGCTGGGAGAATTCGAGACAGTTATGCAAATCGAGGGTCTGCATAACTGTCGAGAATTCTCCCAACGCCTCGAGGGTTTATATCAGGCTATGCAAACACAGGAAGAAAGTTTTCTATTGCTTTTGTAAAATAACTTTCCCGAGAAAAAACATAAAACTCTTTGTATGGTACTGCTTAAAAGAGACATTAGGGCCATTTATACGAGGAAAAATAAGACACGTCTTACACAAGACGCGCCTTACATGAGAAGCGTCTTAAATAAGGCGCGAACTGGACCATTTATACGAACATATCTTACCTAAGTCTTCTGTACGCGTAAACTTATTTTTAACGAGCAAGTTTATGATACGAAGATCAGTAAATATAAATTGTGATAGTCTAAAGTTAAAAGGGTCTACTTACACCAGCAGATGTCACGCATTTGTTCAGGAGGTCTGTTATCGCCTTGTCCTTACATAGTAACAAAAAATCTTTTTCCTCCCCGATGGACCAAGTGTTTCTTTTTACCTTTAACGGCGTGCTCATTGTATTTGAGCGAAGAAAAAACTAAAGCAGAATTAGACAAGGACACGTAAACGCGTTGTAATTTGTAAGCAATTTTTCTCCGCCAATGGCCTGCCAGTTCACCGCAAGGCAAGCGATAATTTTCTCGCCAAAAATTAACGCATGCGTACTATGCGTTCGCGTCTTATGCAAGACCATTCTCGTCCCCAGAGCCCGTCGTTTCTTTGTCACGGTTACAAATTAAGCCGAGTGGCTCTGGGGACGAGAATGATGTAAGACCCGAAGGTCATTTATACAAAGTTTTTTTCGTCTTAGCTAAGACGCGTCTTATGTAAGAACAGGTGTTAAGGGCTGTTCTAAAGTAAGACGCGTCTTAGCTAAGTCGCGTCTTATTTTAGAAGAAATGTGCCGTTTATACGGAAAGTTCGCGTCTTATTTTTCCTATAAATGGCCCTATTCTTACCAGTCGCACAGTCTTGTCCACGAAGTCTTGCACGCGTAATCAGTTCTGACTTGTTTTGCTTAACGATGCTTCCAAAATGGGAATTTTTTTCGCTTAAAATGTCAGCTTAAGCAAAGAAAAATTGACACACCTTCTTTATAACGATTTTCCAAGTTTCAGCCGACGAAGGAATAGGTAAATAAAGTAAACTTGTGGAGTTTTGAACTCGAAAACTTTTTCAAATTCGTGCTTCCGTGATTAGTGCGCGAAAAACAAGACATCTTGACGCCACAACCATGATTACATACTCTCATGCAAACACTCCTCTCGGCCAATCAGAGCGCGCGTACTATCTTAGTTATTTTATAAAATCTAATTTGTAATTAGGGAGCGATAAAGCAAGGGTCACGTGACCTGACTTTTCTTGCGTTTGCCGTTTCAACGCGAGGAAGGCATTTTTCCCGATTGAAGGAAACGCGGAAACTTGAGTATTTCCAAACCGTTTGTACCAGCTATTTCTTCATTTTGATCGCTTGTTTTTATAGCTATCGTTTATTACTCTTTTTCTACATGTACTGTTTGTAAAAAGATGACAACTTCTCTACATATTTTGACCAGTTACAGTGAACCGCGACCGAGAACACTTGCCAGGTATCATAGGTCTTTTGCTTTGTTTAAAACAAAAATGAAGAAACCTGATGGAAGATTTTGGTTAACAGTCAGTTAATGTTAGCTTACTTTTCATTATTTTAGACAATTTGTCGAGTACTTTTAACATTTTTCCAGTTCTGTTGTGTTGACCGGAATCTTAAACAAGCAAACAGCGGACGGAACGGCAAACGCAAACGTCTAGTTGACATTCGGAGTTCGCCGTTAGCGCTTTGCTTAAATTATTGTGAGTAATAATTGTCAAATGTGATACAGACTAGAAATAAACAAAAGTGAATTCTTTATTATAAATCAAGTAAATCACAATTCTTATCTATCCTTAAGTAATTAAAAGGTTTTAAGAAAAGTCTATTCGGGTAATATATTCACAATTTTTTAAAATGTTTAAAAAGGATTTCTTTCTATGAGTAAAATATGTACCGATTTCTCAAAAGAAACAATCAAAATGCAAATGCAACTATTTGATCTCAGATGATGGTCATCATTTATTAGCTTTTGACTGATCAATTAATATTAATTAATTAATTAATAGTATTGAATAATTAATGAGTTTCAGCAATCTTTTTTTAACTTTGGAAAGTCGTATACAAGTGAGATACCCAGACGGAGCCTGGCGAGAAAACGAAAACCTCAATCTGAAAGAGACAGCTCGTTGAAGTGCTACAAGTCGATGACAAAGCCATGATGTTGTCACTGTTGTCACAAGTTTTGAGTCGCTAGCATAAGAATTAATTGGGGTAGGAGACCGTAAGGGAAGGGTCCACCATGTAACTTTATCACAGTGCAGAGTAACCGTTGAATGTTGATCGTTAACAAACATTGAGCAATTCAGTTCTACAACCTTTATTAAGCGGACACCCTCTATTAAGCGGACACTTAGAAAGGTCCCGAAGGTGTTCGCTTAATAGAGCTTTCACTGTAGCTGAGTCGAGTGTCGAATCCGGACCATCGGAAGGTCTGCTCCTAGACCACTCCGCTACGCTGCCCAGGATAATGTTAATATGAGAAAATTATTGTATTTAAAGTCTTTTTCCGTGAGCTTCTGCTGGTGGACGCTGTTTGAGGCTGGTGGAGCTGTATTTATCATGAATTCAAAGATATATTTGAGGAAAATTAGCCACAATCATTTGTTCTCGTTGTTAATTTTCCACCCTCCTTTTCCCCGCAACTTTTTTTTTGTTTCGTCCGAACTGGATATTCATAGCACAACATCTCCGAAATCTCTTCGTCTCTGGATTTGTCAAAAACAGCCTCATTACGGTGATTAAAATCACCAGAATCACATTCACAGTCCTAAATATTTAGAGTTATTGTCAAAGAGGTTTTCATCTCCTACGGAGATAATTTCCGAAGCCATTTTGTTTGTTTATCATTTGCGCAATGCCCTCTCAAAATTGCCCACGCGTGTCACACGAGATGGCGGAATTAATGTTGAAAATAGCACATTTGATTTGACTATTTCGATGGAACCAACGCCATTACTGGGAAAGGCATCCAGTTAAGGTCCCCCACCCCGATTATGGCTCTTGGTCGCGGGTCTTCTAAAGCCTCATGGAAATTTGACAATTACAAGTTTCCCTTGACAGTGCGACTGGGGACAGTCTCCTCTTTTCCTAATTTCTTCAAAAGGGCGAAACATTTCACACGCCAAAAGAAATTTTAAATATAAATCCTCTCAAGCGTCCCAGCTCCTGCCTTAGAAGTACACCAATCTACTTCACAATGTATCCTCAAATAAGGATTTTAAAAAAGTCAAATATTAGAGAGCTTTAGATTCTAAGACGAGGACGACTACAAGTACGAGATTTTTGCAATACTAAGTTATGCTCGCACGTGAAGCAGCGTCATTTTGGCGGGAAAACGTAATAGCCGCCGTCATTTTAGTGCAAGTTTTAGCGAGAACGTCGCAGAGGCGGGAACAAGTTATCAAATGTAAGAAGTTTTATCATTTTGCTATCGGGAGAGGGTTTAACCTCCTTCAGAATAAATAAACCTACTAACTTTTTTCGTGAAAAAAAGTAAATGGAAGCTTTCCAGGGTGTCGTTTTTTTTGGAACACGTACAAAACTTTAAGTTAAATCTCGTACTCGTTCTCGTTCTCAAATCTAAATCTCTCTATTCTCTCAAATCCTAGCTCGAACGACAGAATAAAATATCCCTGCGTGACTAACATCACCAAACCCAATCGTTAACTCAGTGACCATGCGTTATTCGCACTTGCAAGCAGGACAGTTTGGGTGTGGTCGAGATGTACTTTGTGTTGGAATTGTGGGAGGTTGATCGTCTTGCACGTGGACTGTTGGTTTAAATCTTAAGGCATGAATCTAGAAAAGAAAAAAAAGTGGTTTTTAACAGCGCCATTTTTGAACCGGGATGATAACAAGTCCATCAATTTTAGTCCTGTAGTGCATTGTTTGTAGAATTCGTGTTGTGCGCATTCATCAGAACGCAAAGTGCAGGAGAGGCCTAACTGTGGAAAAACCTTAGCCTTTCCGAAGCTGGTGGTATTTTGCCGCACGGGAATGCTACGGGAGCTGCTTGGAACCAAGACGTCTCTTTCTTGATGAAAAGTTGCGCACAAAGAGAAACGGGAAGGGGAAAACGGGTCTCGCCTTTCTTCTTTCTCTTTCCCGGGGTCAATTGCGCTTCGTCACCAGTCACTCGTGTTTGGCGCTCGATTCTATGCGAAACACGGGGTGCCTGAGGAGGAGGCAGCTACAGGAGTGCTTCCAAGCAAATTCATGATCGCCAGCGCTATCCTCATGGGCAGTTTTCTCTACCTGGATCCGTTCTCCTCGTAGCTTCACCGGTCGCAGTCACGACCTAAAATTAAGCATTGGAGGGCAAACTTCCACCAGCTATGCAGAAAATGGTGGCCAGGAGAGTCCTAAGGTATAAGCCGTGGCAGCGGTAACTAAAAAAAAACCAATGCACCGGTACTCTTTTAAAAAGTGAATTGACTGTTGATTTCACCTCAAACAAACCTTACCTTGGTCAAAAACAGAAGTCCAAGTGAGAACGAAATGCATATGTTTACCAGGGTGCCTGACAACACAAATGAAGTGTTCACACTTGTCCGTTGCTTTAACGCAAAATCTAACAATATAGCGATTGAGGAACAGAGAACTACATTATACACGCTGATTCCGATCTGTCTTGAGTCGTTCAAGGCTGGATAGTTCACGTTTCTTGTTTCCCAAGCAAGGAAGACACCAATTGCCAAGAGTAGGCCTTTGTAGGCGTATAGGCAGGCCGTCCACGTTCCAATGTGCTCACAGTTACAAACCCATACAAAGTGTCTCACATTGATTTCATCTTTCGGCATCAACACCTTAAAAATTATTCAACAGGAATTAATATTATATGAGAAAAACTTGTTTAGAGGTTACAGTACGAGGCAATGGCAAGGGCGGATCCAGGGACGTTTTATACGGAGGGCGTATAAATTTACTGTTCCTCACCAGTATGTTTTCTGGCAAACTTTATTTCAGCCAATTGCGAAAGTGCACGTTTTCGCATGATAAACAGGCAAGTTTGTTTGCAAGCTTTTCTCTATGAGCCACAACATGATGCAAGGGCGCTTTTAGAGGTGGTCAAATTTTGTATTATTTGAAAATAATTCTCATTAAAATTAATCGGTATTTACCTAGCGGACAAGTGTCCCGGCCTCCTCTTTCTGAATTTTCTGGATCTGCCCATGCAGGTGTCAGTATGCGATCATTCATTGCAAAAATTTTCAGTTTCAAAACGCCCAATAGTATTCAATTAGTAGACATGATGGAAAATATATAAATTTACAATGTGTGATGACTTATTTTGAAGGGAATTGGAGGCAGCCAAATCCCTTACCTACTCCAATTCCACCAAGTGGCTGCGAATTGAGAAATAATGAGGTACTCAAGATTAAAGTAGCTGTGTCACGGTTGGTTACTTAATTTCGCCTTGTTTATAAAGCCAATTACGTGTGTTCATTCGCTATAAAACTTGATAAATTACTTGTAAATAATAAATGACAAAATAGCAGCTTTATTTCAAACAAATATGTCTCCCAAGTACTAAATCAAACGTTACATACAACAAAAATGAACTTTGAAAAGCTGTTAGGCTAACATGTTTTCAAAAACAACAATTGCAATCCGTTTCAATCTTCTTCAAGTTTATCCATCCGTGCTTCCTTTGGTATTTGCAGTGTCATTTATACCTTCTTTCAACATCATGAGCATTTATTTTATGTTTCACTCAATTTGGTGGCAGTTACCGCCGTGTGAATTCTGATAAATTTCTTGACACGTCCTTTAATGGACGTTTTGGTCAAGATACTTACTCCAACCATCTTGCTCTCAGTAGTAAGAGGTGAGATTGATTGCCAAACAGACAGGTATAACAGATCCCAGATAACAAGAGCGGCCAGTATCCCTATGAGATGACGGTCATGAAGCCTTCCCAGCTGAGAACGTAAAACAAAAAATAAATATGGTGGCATCTCTTAAACCAGGGAAAGAAAGAAGTGATAGCGATGTGCCTAATTGTTTTTTGTGATAACGGCTTTTATGGAAACGTTTTCACAAAAGCCAATAAACATATAGGACGCCAAAACATCCGCAATGTAAATAGTCTCTTGGTGAACGAGCCTTGGAGTCCCTTTTGCCCTTTTTCTCTTTTGCTTTTTGAATCCGCCGCGGTTGTTCCTTGGACGAAGGAAAGGATCAACGCCATTTTTCCAAAAAAAAAAAAAATAGTCGGAAATTCACTGTAGTTTTAACTACATGCAATCCCGATCTATCTTCTGTCTATTTCCTAGTTTTTGTTTTGTTTTGTTCTAAACCCACTAGTTTTCTTTTAAGTCGTAAAATGACGTCGGAATTAGAGAAATATGAACAAGCCGAGAAATTTTCATCAGCATTTTCTTTAATTTTATTTCACCAATACACACGATCACCCGGTGATTGTTTCAACTTAACAGACTAATTATCGATATCATGATATAATTACCTCTTTTTTCATATCCGTGTTCGTAAATATCCTGTAAACTCTCCACGTTTTTACAAACATAGCACCATAAGCCATGGTAAATCCAATTGACATTACCCAAAGACGAGCCTGAGAAATTGAAAGAGATAGATGATAAACAGAAGTACGATCTCATTTCTATAAATTATGACAGTTTCTAATGATTTTTTCTTTTCGAATTTAACAAATTGCTGTTAGCATAGACCCTAGGATAAAGAGATTATGCAATAAATCAAACTTTAATGAAACTACTGTCAGTGGTTCTACTCCACTACACCTTATGAAGAAAAGAAACCACGACAAATGACCGGTGCCAACAATCGGAAAAGTAACAGTTAAATTCTGGAAATTAAAATGAGGCGTAAAGTGTAGACCTCTCGCGACTTCGTCGCTCGCTTGGCCGCTTGGCGGCCTAAAACGCTCGCCCCGCTCGCTAAGAAACTTGTGAGGTCGACTTGTAGCAAGTTTACGTAAAGCGCCAGATACTCTAATACCCATGATCAAACGCGGGAAAGCTTAGATAGAGGGAGAAAGATCCACGTATGCCAGAGAGATCCTAGAAGGTGGAACAACTTTTCGTTAGATTTACATGTAGAAATTTCGGTCTGTGTAGTTAACAGTACAGAAGAGATTAAAAATCAAAGACTCCCAATTGAACAAACTGCCGCCATTTATGTATGTTTTGTTCCTAGTACCAGGATCTTCCTAACGAAAGCAGTTTACATGGTGCTTGGACCTTCCTACCTCTCAAATACGAAGAACCTATCACTAGAAAGATCATATGATAGCGCTGAATACAAAAACTTACCGAGTAATGCCAAGCGTAGAAAACAAAAATGAAGGGATAAAAACAAGACAACATGCAGCCAGCGCCGACCTTAGCCAGGCTTTTAACAAAAGCCGAGCGCGGCAAAACACATCTTCACCAGTTCAAACGTCGGTGACATACTGACAGTACCAGGCGCAAATACACATGACTGAACCAGAGAGAAACGCGAAACAACAAATAGACAATGAAAATAATTGGTGAGCGAAGACGGGTGCCAAGCAAGAAGTGCAAGCAAAGTAAATTGCGTCTCTTCTATTTTTGGTAAAAACAGGACGCGATTATGATCATTCAGTTGTGTTGCACAGTCTTACACGGCTTTGACAACCCGTTATGAAGCAGTTACAAAAAACATCATACGAACTCAACTTGACCCATTCGACAATTGCTTACGACCCCTCAAAAAAAAAATAAAAAAGGTCGTCAACAGGCAGGGGGAGTAGCATGCGAACCAGCAGTTTAAAGAGAACTGGAGAACAATGACAGAAAAATTCCTCACCTTACATAGTGTTGAGTGCGTTGTTATCTGAGAATCCTGATCCAGCAAACTGTCTGCTCCCAATAGGAACACGCATGCGTAGCACATTATACAGCCCACTGCCATAATGTTGTTTATATTCGGAGAAGACATTTTGATGAGACTAAAAGTGACCGAATTATCCAATAAGGGACTTGTCAGGAATTAGCAGGGGGGAGGGGGGTGGAAACAACTTTTTGAGACTGCAGAAACGGGAGGGGTCATGAAAAATGGGCCGTTTAAAGGGGGAGGGTCATGCAAATATGTGTGTGTGATCATGTAGAGGTTCACCCACAGAAGAAAAAAGAAGTTCTTTATTTTGTAAAAAAAAAACCTGGGAGAAATAGGAGAGTCGAGTGATCAGCTGTCAGAATCAGAGTCGGACTCTTAATGCTGTCATCTAAAATGTATGTATATGGCATTATAAAGCACAGATTAGAAATATATTTTGAGCTTTCATAATACTGACTCACCCTAGGTTATTGCAAGAACTAAATTTTATCATTTATACAAGAGGGGGAGGGTCATGATATTTTAGGCCAAGGCCAAGGGGAGGGTTAGCAAATTTCACTCCCATTGACCACGCCAGAAAATACCATAACATACCATAATGCTCTTTGTTTGTCACCCTAAAATTTTGCATAAGCATTGTCTTCTATTTCTCTTGGAAGTAAAAATGGCCCCAAAAGAAACTGAAAACAATGCTTATGCAAACTTTTGGGGTGACAAACAAAGAGCATTATGATATGTTATGGTATTTTGCAGGAATGGGTCACCTGATTTCCGAACCCAAATTTAAAATTCCCACCCCGCTCCCCCCTGCTAATTTCTGACAAGTCTCTAAATACCTTGTTTTTTGACTTATGCTTCGACTGAACATGTGTACCTAGCAGATGTTAAAAGCTGATGAAGTATACACTTGAATACTGCAATGCTGATCGTACTATGTGAAAATTAACTCCGCAAGACATCAACACGACACCGAAAGAACTCAAAACAGAGCGGGATTGTAGCCATAGATAGCTGTTTCGCCCTTTTTGGGGCTCGTCAGTACGGCGCAACAACCAGAAAAAGTTCTGACGAGCCCCAAAAAAGGCAAAACAGCTGTCTATGGCTACAATCCCGGTCTGTTTTGAGTTCTTTCGGTGTCGTGTTGACGTCTTGCAGAGTTAATTTTCACGTAGTACGATCAGCATTGCACAACCTCGTCCCCACGGCTTTTCCCTTAAAAAAAAGGGTCGGGCGGGAAATTAATATAAATTAATTTAATATGTCTACATTATTATTTTTGCTGATCAGGTCTTTATAGATCCTACGTTCTTCGGCATATTCGTCTGCGGTCCTTTGCAGTCCTTTGTGGTTAATGTTTGTACTTTATACACTTGAGTATATTTGTTAACAGGTATAAAATATGCAGAGAAAAAAGTGTTCAAGCAAATACCGTAAATGATCCAATAGGCGTCCTCTCTCAAATAAAAGCATCTTGCCTTAATAGCGGAGCTGTACGCGTGCGCAAGCGGAGCCTTTTGGCTAAGAAAATTTGGTTAGCTATACATTCAAACATTTTGGTAGTCACGTGACCGTACCACCGCGTCCGCACATAGGGAAACAAATCTGAAATGTCACACAGAGTGGGACCCCTGCAACCAGCCTGTAATCGGATAGTGCCCATCCACGTTGTGGTTCATTTACAGCAGTCAAAACTAGGCTTTGATTGCGGATTGTGCTGGCATAATTTTTGGCATAATTGGTCATTACGAGTATAGTTTTCATCTATTTTCTGAAAAAACCACTGCTAGCATAATGTGCACTTTTGACTAGTTTTGTAGCTCAAAATTGTGCGTGCTGGCTGTTAATTGATTGAGTTTTTATAGTTGTCAGACAACCGATTATGCACTCTTAACGTTTCTAGATATAAATAGCGGACTATCCAATCCATTGATACGTCTCGGCTGTTAAGAGATCAGAATCTTTTTGTAAAAGTCAGCTTTGATGTCATAGAACTTACTTTGAACTTGAGCAAAATGCGATGCGCAAACGTTTGTTAATCAAACAAGAAACTAAATAAGTTGAATGATTTTACTATATTTGGCTATTTCCCTTAGTCTATTTCCCTTAGTCTATCAGACTGGGATTGTTTATTGGAGAGGGGCGACTGATACAAACTTTAAAGCGTAGCTGGGTCTTCATAGTTCAGTTGGAAGAGCACTGCAGCGCTAACGCAGAGGCGATGGGTTCGAATCCCGTTGAAGTCCGGAAGTTTTTTTCGGGTTTATTTGCAGTTGCTTAAATTTTAATCACCACTGCGGCGATCGTATCTACATTTAAAAAATTGTATTTCCGCAGTTCACATTATTATCAAACAAGTAAATAGCAAACACATTTACCCTATTTATATTCTGTGGTGATATATTTGTCGAAACCGTATAAGTTTTTTGGAGTTTATTACAGTTATGAAAATTAACGCCTCTCTCTTTTAAACACCTTCTATGTAATAAACACCTCCGCTTGCGGTTCCTCTATTGGATCATTTACGGTACATGTCATGGTATAATGGAGCAAATTTAAAGAAAACAAAAATAGTCCAATTTGCTGACAGAGGTAATTGTTAACCAGCCAACTACAATATTTTCTTTCAACTGAAGACAGTAATCCGTTAAAGATTTGAAAACAAAAACTCACCTTGAAGTTCTGTTTCGTATGTTAAAGATGAGAAAGCTAATAGCCATAATAATTCCCAAGGAGGACATCAATACCAATATAATAAACAAAAGCAGGCTGACTTTTTCCCGCTTCTGAATCATTATTCGATGATCAGACGGCACTCCTTTTCCGTCTGTAGAAAACATACAAAGTAGTATAGTAGGAATGAAATTAACCTTTAATTTTAAGGGTAATACATTGAATACATTAACGCCGACAACGTAGTAGCTTTTTGTCTTTATATATTTAATAAAATGTGGGAATATCTCATTAAGATAAGATGTTTAATCTTCCTGTTTTAAGATATTTAACTTGTTAGACTCGGGTATTTTAGCTACTTTTAGGTCGACAAAAGCCTAAGTTTTTGATGGGTTGACTAAAAATTAAGAAGAGTATTCATTGCTTGATTCATGTTGTCGAAGGAATAAGCGCCAGCTCGACTGTGAATTAAAATCACTGAACTGTAATTTCTATTGCTGCCGCTTTCATTGTTCGTTGAGAGCAACTAATTTCCTGGTTCCTAGTTCATTGCAGATTCTTGCCCTACGAAACACAATTTTCAACAAACCCCCTCTTTCTCCTCCTCCTCCTCTTCCTTCTCCTCCCCTCCTCCTCTTCCTTCTCCCTCCTCCTCTTCCTTCTCCTCCTCCTCCTCCTCCTCCTCTTCCTTCTCCTCCCCCCTCCTTTCCTCCTCCTCTTCCTTCCCCTCCTCCTCTTTCCTCCTCCTCCCTCCCTCCCCCCTCCTCCTCTTTCTCCTCCTCCTCCTCTTCCTTCTCCTCCCCCACCTCCTCTTTCTCCCTCCTCCTCTTCCTTCTCCTCCCCCTCCTCCTCTTTCTCCCTCCTCCTCTTCCTTCTCCTCCTCCTCCTCTTTTTAAAACGGTAATTTCATTCCTACCTTGCTACTATATTAATGTGCTATTAACTTAGGAGGAAAGTACCGAACACTATCTGAACACCCGTAACAGGCTATTCTGCTTTCAAAAAGATCGCACCGCAAAGATCACCTTGACCCAAATTTCTTCATTTTTTGTTGTTTTCGCTAACCCAACTTGACGACTTGTATTTACCAAGTGGTTGCCAGAGACTTTTTTCTTCCTTGCGCTTTCGGTCAAGTTTTTATAGTTATCCGCTCGCGGCATGGACCGAACGTGTGAAGGCGCCCAAAATTAAAAGCATTAGGCAACACGCAAGAAAGAAACTTCTGGTACCAACGACAAGGGCAAGCTAAATTGCTTGCTTGCTTCATCCGTTTTCTCTGAGAGATCACGAGACATAAATAGATCCTGATGGTGTACATGCGTGATAGGTCACTGTACTCTACTTGGGCCGAACTTAATACCTATTTAGGTCGTCGCAAATGATATAAGTTCGACGGTTGATTCAGACGTCGAACTTAATTAGTCGCGCTCAATTTATTTTTACGATGTTCAATGGTCTTACGTTCGGCGAAACGAAGTTGGTCCACAGTCAAAATTCCCATGTGGGCCATTTGATCTTACTTCATGGGTCAACCCAAATTAGATACGTCGAACTTTATTGATTCAAACGTCTATCTTTTCAAGTACTTAATCCAAGGGATTAGGTTTGGTACCTGAAAAGGTCCACGTTTAAACTGGGCCTTACGCACCTGGCCATTTGAAACTTCTGTTTGAAATTATTTCCATACTACCGGTTTCAGTGCTAAAGGTCCCTATTCTGACTTCCTTGGTACCTGAAATAGGAACGATATAATAAATAAATATTGTGAGTTTTTAAATCCCACGTTCTCAGTTAGCCCACACACGTATTTTATAGGTTTTACGTTTTAACGAGAGATATCGCGAGCACATACCTTAGTTTTCTTGTAGGAGGCATGCAAAGAGTCTGTAACTGGCCTTTTTTTTTCCAGCACAAATGTTCTCGTTTGTGTTTTTATTTCTTTTAATTTACTGCTATATTCCATGTCCTTCACACCTTTCTACCAGGAGCCGATTACTTAAGTAATTGGCTACTGCTTTCTACTTGTTCTCGGCAATCGTGTGGGTGAGGTTTGCCCCCAGTTGGTGTTGCAGTTTGCAATGAAGTGCAGCAGACGTTTCCAGCTGTTCCCGCGCTCATTAAACTCAATTATAAATACACTTGTTAACGTTATGATTGACCTAGGGAAGTGCACGGAAACTTACAACACATTAACGTCTTTCTTTTTCATGAAATCGATGGAACTGGGGAGAAGACACCGTGAATTGGGGCAATCAGCCAAGTATTTAACAACAGATATGTAAGGTTGTTAGTGTTAAATTCTCTTTAATCCTCACCTTGCATTTGCTCAATCCATATCTTGTTTTTCCTTTCTCCTTTTTCTGAAAATCCAACATCACCCTTAACATGTTGGGAGACACGAATGATCAGGTATTGGCTTTCACTCTTATTTTTTTAAAAAATAAAGAACTATATTTATAGCCAGGGGATGGAATTCCGATATGGAAAAAACTTCGTTTGCCTTAGGATTAGAACTTGCAGATTCTGTACTGGCTTAGGATTTTCAGGACGGACTTCCAGTATTTTTGCCCATAAAGGTATTAGGTTTGTGCGTAAAGAATATTTGTAAAAACAGAAAAAGAAACAAACACCTCCATTTTTGAGTTGGGGGTGTGGTCTCTTTTAGAGAACAAAGAAAACCCAGCTCCCCAGCTTAATATGCTTATAGTTAATCGTGAGCTGATTCGAGCATTTAGCAATTATTGGATGAGGCTGAATATGACCTAAAGACTTCCTTAGTATGCAGATCGAGGAGAGTGTTATCTGCCGAGGCCGAGGGCGGATAACCCGCCCCAAAACTGTGACCGTTATGTAACACAAATTAGCGAGTGTTCCATTTTAATAGTTGTAAATTGATTTTGAAATGGGAGGGGTATATCTTTTAAAAACGAAGGTGTTCTTTAATTCTCATAAAACATCTTTGGGCAAGTATGACATCTCACCATGGCATACATGATGTTGCGGGCGCACGGTGTTATCTTGCCTAAGGTAAAGGAATAATCAAATAAGGCCATCTCCCAGTTGGCCCAAGCTTCTGTTTCAAAGCGAAGTTGAGGGCGAAGCTATTGAGATGAAAAGGATTTTTTTATTCTCTTGCAAATAAAACTCACTTTCATAACAAAACAATTTTGCACATAGCCTCGTTTTGAAAGTAAGAGTTTTTTGGAACACGTAAATGGCCTATTTTAAAACTAATTTTCTAAGCCATGGTGGTCCGAGCGAGCGCATTGGGCATGAGATGCTCTGCTTTCACTCACCGACATGCCAATAAACCTGGTTTCCAATAACGACTGGTTCAAACTTTCTTTAATTATTCGACTTTGTTGGCCTTTGTAAGTGAAGTTGTGTAGCGATAGGTTGTGTTTAGTGAGTAGAGCCATGGTCTGATTAAGTGCGAGAGCTAAAAACCAAATGCTATCATAGCCATATGGAGCGTAACTGTTTTCTTCTTGAGACTTGTTCTTCAAACTGGCTTTATACAACTGCCTAAGTTGAGACGCAGTCTGGAAAAATATTTAGTTTGAGATGAATTCGATATCAAGAATTGTTAGTATTTCTCTTAGTTGATAGGATTTGTCAGCATAAAAGAAATTTACGTTAGTAGTAGAGAAGGGACCGAATTATCCATAAGTTTATTACGAAAGACTCTTACTAATTTGCAGCAGAATGCATCACCGCCGATGACGACATAGCCATTTGTCTTTATCTCTTGAATAAAATGCGGGCGAATCTCATTTAGATACAAGGCTATGTCCTATTTTTAGATGGCTTAACCGGTTTGAAAGTTCGACATTCTTTTTTAGTCAACCAATCAAAAACCAGGACATTCATCGACCTAAAAATAACCAGAAAACCTGTCAAACCGGTTTAAAAACAACTAAAAGTGGCACATGACCTTATCTTAATGAGATTTCCTCGCTTTTTATTCAGGAGATAAATACAATGGCTTTGACGTCCAGGGCGTTAATGTACTTCTTCTTTATAAGATTCCCACCAAAAAAAAAATTCTTTTCTTACTATACTACTTACGATAATGACATGATAGGAAAGTCTTAATTTTTATCGGTGATAAAATAACATATGAACAACTGGTTGTATATTTCTCCAGCCCAATCCATCACTCCCATTTCCCAGGTCTCTCTGATCCTCAGCTGAGGCTTCATATATTTCCCCATTTCAGACGCCACTTCAGGCCTTTTAAGAGTCAACAGAAAACAGATATTCTTACCCAACCAGCTACTGTTGGTTTATCTGGAACATCACTGAAAATAATTGTCTCTGTTGCTAGGTAACTTCCGGCCGCAAGTTTGATTTGTTCGGCAGTGCAGTTTACATCCTTTTCAGTTTTATTCCACCATGATGCTGTATACCATCCCCTCAAAAACCAGACTCGATGATGACCGTGGAACCCGTTCTTATAAGCCTGAAAGAGGCAATAGTGATAGTGAAATAGTTTCAAAGAAATAGGCCCTCTTGCTTACCTTGAAATACTGCACCAAGGGAGGGACAGGCAGGCTTTTATCAAACTCTGCAAGACCTATTAGGATGTCTCAGATAGGGTTTTAATTTGCATTTTATGTTTTCTTAGACATCTTTCATAGTGGAACTCTACGCGCGCGCTTAGCCCCATACCTAAAGGCGATGTTACACGAGACGATTCGCAACGACGACTTTTAGCGCAACACAGGGTCGTAATGTTACGAAAGAATGACGCAACAATGTTGTGATGCTTTGTTACGCTAAAAATCGTCTTTACCCATTCGTCCGCCCGTCCGTCTGCACCACACTGAATCCAATGAGAGTCAAACTTTCTAGTTAGTGTGGGAGCCTGTAACCTGTGTTTAACTTGATGGTAGACATCCATATGATAGTCAGTTGACAGTTGTCAAAACAGGGTGTCCCGCTGACCAGAGTCAGCATGACCATATCGCGGGCTCAGGTGCCAACTCATTGAGGTCACGTGTTTTGTGAAGTTTTCCGCTTACCAGTTGTTAGTTTTAAACCGATCGTAGGCTCAAGTTTATGTTTTTCAGTCATATGGTTCTCCCCCACAGTTAAGTATAGATTTGTAGACTTCTTTGCAATGGTTTCAAGTCCATTGTCTGAAGTAAATTTAAAATGCATAAACTGAGGCTTCGCTTTTAGCTCTGGCTAAATCAATATATTATATTTTAAGTTTGTAAAAGTACATCATGTGGTTTAGTTTGTAAGTCGTTAGGTGTCCTCAATAAGTTCGCAATTGTGTAAGCTAGCTTTAATTATTATTACTTATTACAAATTATTCGGATAGGGCGCACCAGATGGCAGATGCATGAGAAAATTAATAATAAAAGATGGGGCATGTATCAGAAACCTATTCTTACGGAACACATGAGCCTTCTACATCTGTCCTCGTACATTAAAGTAATGATTATTCTCGCATCCTTCTCCTGAAAGAAAAAGCAAAGAATAACACAATGCTTCGGCTTGTAAAATATCCGCACCATTATCCACTTTCAGCCTATGAATGCTTTAGTATGAAGCAGACAATTAAAACTGTCAGTGCTCCTAATATTCGTACTCCTGCACAGGTTTTCGACATTAAAATGAAACAGTTACGGTACTGACATTGAAATCAAAGAAGTAATTCGTTTCCCTTGGCTCTTTTTATTTGGCTATTAATGTATTTAACATGAAGCACTCATCCCCAAGTGGAGAAGGTACCGCTATTTCTACGTAGTCACATAATTGCAATCACAAAACCGAAGACTAAGCAATAATAGATTAGGCGGTACAGCAAACCCTGCAAACCACCAGCTGAACCACCCCACCAAAGAATCTGCCCCTTATGGAAAATAAGGATTAAGGACGAAGGACGTTTCTTGATGAATTCTTCAGCCTAGGGGAACTCTTGAAGTTGAATACAATGAATCCAGAAAGTAGCGAAAAGGTAAACTTGCTCATGCGAGCTGTTCTTTGAGCTCCTGTGTTGTATAAATGTTAACAACAATGTACGAAGCAATACCACGTACTTTGAGATCTTTGATGACATTATCTGGATTATCAACAAAACTGTTGCTTGCCAAAAGGGTGATGTTTTCTTTCTTGAACACTGCTTGAAGAACCTCGTTAACCTAAAATGTGTTTAGTGATACAAAAAAATGCTTGTTGTCCTTAAAAGTTGTTTATTTCAAAATTTGTTGGACGCACCGTGATCCTACCAGAGGAACGTTGACCGTGTTCTAAACGTGCGGCGCATCAACCATCAGATAATCCCCACCCCGGTCTTCAAGATTATATAACTTGCATTCAAGGATGGGATATAGAATTTCTGGGGACACGCTGATTAAATGCAAACAGTTTCGAGAAAAACCATTTTTCATGCTACAATTGTACATTCAGCGGAATTTGCTACTTTTTTATACCTTTATGCACAGAAAGTAGAAAAATCCCACATTTTTCATCATGCCACTTTTATCGACATATTATTACTAAATTTTACCAGTTCGTCACTTTCGCATTACACCAAATAAGGATTATTATTATTCATTCAAAATATTTCCCCAATTCTGATTGGCTAAAAGCACACGCAGCATGACCAAATTTGAAAGAATTTCGTGTTTAATGAACCACTGACGTCAAAAGTGCCGCTTTCTGGCAGGTTAATGCATCGTTAACCGAGAAGACCTGGGGACGAAGTTGAGTTGTTTTGGTTGTGAAAACGAAAATGGCGGACGTTTCACTCGTTTCGAGAGTAGGAACTAGGCGAAATAATAACTAAAAACATGGCAAGAACAGCAAGAAGACAACTCGAAGAGCGATATCTGCTATTTGGAGAATATTTGCGAAGCTGAACAACCCTTAACGTGCACTATCGAAGATGAACTTAACGTTGATGGATCGATGGAGGTAAGGATGTTTTAACTATGTTTTTAAACTACGAATTATTTTGAATGAATAACAAAACAAATATTGAATTCGGCTTTCGTATCATATGATGAATTATGGAGATCTCGCAGGGTGTTATCCTCCTAGGCCTACGGCCTCGACCGATAACACCCTCCTGGATCTCCATAATTCTTCACAGGTTATTCAGCCTCATTCATTAATTGTTCATTTGCGGCCTCGGTGGTATCTTTTGTGTACCAAAATATTCTCCTCAGAGAAAAGTAAAGTTCTCACTTACGTCATTAAACATGGCTTCATCTTGTTTTACGACTGCAACTTTCTTCCACTTAAAATGCTTCAAGAGAGCCACAATTCCTTCATTAAATTTCGTCTCGTCGGAGTTTAACCGAAAGACGGTCGGGTAACGTGTTTTGTCCGAGAGGCGCGGAGAACCAGCGCTGTACGAGATCTGTGGGTAAACGAGAAAATACCACTTAAAAAAATTACCACTTTCTTGAGTCATTTTTATTGACATCATGAAGAAATGATTGCTTATTCATTTATTTAACATGTAAGGTCCAAGATTCAATAATACTTAGCCTGTCTTGCGTTCATATGATGGCTCTCCCTAGCCAACAAAGGGTGAGCATGAGAGAAAATGTTGAGGTTTTAAAATAAAGGGTCCTGGAGGTTGTAGGACCTGAGCATAGCAGCATGGCTCAGCTCTAGCTCAATCATGAGAACCATCAGGCTAAAACTTTGCTTGACCTCATCTCCCTCATCCAACCCAGCTTTGTAGAATCTACGACGGGGTCATTTGGTAAACACCACTCTGTAAGGTCTCTAATTGATTTGCCCCCCCCCCCCCCCCCCTGGATATTTTCTTAGACCCCGTTTATATGTAGAAATCTTATCCCGGCAGGAAGTTGTTGAAGGGTCAACCGCCAACCTGACCTACTCTGGGAGAGCCACACTTTCTTATATTTCCTTACAAAACTAGAGGAACCTTTTACATGAGGAACAAAAATTTGGCTCGACTGAAGCCGGGTGACCCCCCTAGCCGGTTCACCCTTCGATGGTAGGGTCACCCTCCTAGCCGGGCCAAATTTTCTTCACAGAAACACGTTGGCTCGCCCAACCGAGTCCACACAGTCAAGGCACGACAAACAGAATATGCGCGACAGCGCGAGCCTTTTTGGCTCATTCAATAGGTAAACGTTAAGTTTTTCTCACATATGCTCGCTGGAGATCGGACTAAGCTGCAGGGGAGGGTGATACTCTTCCCAGGGACAACTTTGCTCCGTATAAACGGGACCTTATTCAGTAGCCTGTACCGACTTATGAAAGGAACGTGACGACGATCGCGAACGAGAGAACTATTTTGAAAATAGTGTTCGCACACTATTCTAAGCCATATATCCTCGATCTATGATAAACGAAACGCTGCGATCAATGACATAGTTTGCCCCAAGTGTACATGCACAAGGATCATGTTATCGTGGCTACTATTAAATTTTTTTAGTTCTGTGTGAGCTCTACCTCGTAAAAGGTGTTGGTGGCAAGGAATTCATTTAGAGAATTTACCTGTATGAGGTTCCAGAAACGTGCCACACTTGCAACTGGTTCGGTGGCAAGGGCACATCCAGGCCCAAATAGGGCTATGAAAGTGAGCGGATCGCTGAGATGTTCAATCAGGGCCTTGATTGCGTATGCGTCTGAGCACTGTAAAAAGTGAATCAATCTAGTATTTTGTGTAATGTTTTGTAGACGAGAACTTTTACGTAGATCGAACAAGGCATATGAACAATGAATCAATTATTGGTTTCAGCGTTTGCACGATATGAAGAACAAGTCGAAAATTATACAACAACGACAACTACATGAATACAACAACGTTACATTTGATTGTGTATTAATGGTGTTAATCAAAGCTAAAGGCAAGTAACATTATTCTCAAATGATGGTAAACTATCACGCGAATTATTCAGAGCTTATCAGTTTACAACCACTTCCTCAGGGCTTTTTCCCATGGAAAGGGCGGGACCCCTCGGAAAAGGAAAAGCCCTGTGGACGAAGTTGATCAGTTCCATCACCATGTCACCAACTGCTGGAAATGCTCTGGAAATCTCCCTACTTGAGCGAAAAATTCATTTCTAAGACCAGGATATTTTGGGCAGTAGAAAAGAAAATGAATTTCATGTGCGACTTCACTGGAATCACAAACCTGGAGATCATCTTTTGTCATGAGGATTTTGGTCATATCTTCAGTCTCGATCATTGTTAGGGAGATTAAGTAAAGGTGTTTTTAACTGCAACGCCAGGAGTGACGCACGTTAACCGAAAGTTAGGCCTTTTCCTTTATGATATGCCTTGACGCTACGAAATTTGTATTGCTAAGTGTCTTTACTTTCATAGAGACAATTTGGCCGAAAATTTGGGCTAAACCTCTTCCCACGAATGAAAAAGGTCAACTTCCGGTTGACGTGCATCGCTCAAAAATGTCTTTGCTTCAGCTCCCCAAGTAGCCTGCACTGCAGGCGTATTTTGGGTGGGCGAAAGCTTGTTCATGTTCGTGTTATTGTAGCCGCCATCTTTGATTTTATGACAGAGGTAGATTGGGGAGAGTACAAATAGTAACCCTGAGGGTGGTGCTAGGGCGCACCTTTTGACTTGGCTCATTTCCTCTCTCTTCGGGAGTTTCAACATGGCGCTTTCGCGAGCAAAAATATTCGTGCGCCCGAAGAAAACCCCTGAATTGCAGGCTACTCCCTAAGTTAATGATTGCTCACGCGATATTTTACTAAGGCCTTTCTAAAACTAGCCTTTTCTGTCAACTGCTTTGTATCAAATTCAGATCTTAGAGGTCATTATCTGTCCTCCTCGATTTGCATAATCCTTCATTTAGTACTCAGCCCGAGAAGAAATAGCAAGCAAACTACGGTGGTATTTGAGGCTAAGATGGTTAAAGAACAAGGGTATATTCTTATCCTCCTCCAACAGTTAGTAATAATTAGGATAGGGGCTTGATTAAGACTGGGAAAATTTTTGGTCCCTCCGACTGGTGGTAATTAGACAATGGGGAACAAAAGTAGGCCATAACAAATTTTCAATTTTCCATTTTTTTCTTTCAAATTTTCTCCAGATCTAGACTATTAATTTATTTTGCTACATACCCTGGAGTCTTTAACATTTAGCTTCAAGTTATATCCAGGTAACACGTCATCTCGTTTATTGACATGATCCACTGCTAGTTGAACCGCTGGCCATACCCCAGCACTGTTCCATCCCCTATTTGTAGTGTTGATCTCAAAATATGCACCCACGTTCAGATCCAGGGTAGCTGATTGGATGAGGCTCAGAAACCATGGACCAATCAACGTTAAGCCAATGGTGGTTTTACGCATCGGCATGCTTCGGACTTGAGGCAAGTCACTATCTCACGGAAAAGCCTAAATTACAGAAAAGGTTTACTGAGATACTGAAGTCTGTACCTCAATATATATATATATATATTTTTTAGTTTTTTTCATATCAAACAAAATCTGTTAGCCAGCCACATTGTTTAAAACACAAACTTAAGAGTTATGCCGAGTTTACTAGGTACTGTAGCAGTGAGTTTAAAATTCAATCATGTGTGATAAGAGAGGTTCAGAATGGGGTTTAACTAAATTTTTTAGGAAGTTTTGTTCTAAATTTGAATTATAACCGTCTTTGAGAACAAATTTAGCATAATATCACGCAAATATTTGTTTCTTCTGTGCAAATTAGCAAAACTACTTTAAATGGGAAAAGAACCGTGACCAATACATAAGTCCTACACTGGTTGATTCGGGCAACACGCTATGGTTGTTTATTTAAGATAGTAAGATGATTGTTTTCATCGAAACCCTTCATTCGCCGAGACCGAGTACTGTTTGAATTTTCTACAGGCTTGTTTCGTCCTTTTTTTTATTTCAGAATTCGTCGAACATAAAGTTGTAAAGTTATCGTCAAAAATGCTTCGGCAATTTTTGACAACTTTTGTGTAACAATGCTTTGCGTTGCAAACTCCAGTAAGTTCAACCTTCAATCATCCTCGCAGACCCAGGGGCAGTCAGTCGGGTCGAGAGAAAAGGCGCGACGAAAGTTTTCAAGTACGGGCGAAAGAGCTCTTTCACCCGTACTTGAAAACTTTCGTCGCGCCTTTTCTCTCGACCCGACTGACTGCCCCTGGGTCTCCGAGGATGACCTTCATTGGACCGGCTGCAGTTCTAAGAAGTAGATTTTTAAGGCTCAAATTGAAATACCTTCTTACATGAAAGTTCGCGACATTACGAGGCACTTAAATTTCGCATTTTTTGCAGGACACAATTGATTTAACTTTAGATTTGATAAAAAAAACGACTTCTACATTATTAAACGTTAACAATAAAGAAGTTGTCACAAAGTCCCCAAAGAAGTTCATGTTTGTACATAAATTATTTCCAGTCAATTGTCCACGATACCTACTATAAACAAGCCTCACAAGAAGTTATGCATGTATATATCTTGAAAAGTATCAACGGAAGGTGGCACCCTACTCTCAGTTACAACAATAGTAATTCCTGCTTGCTCGCAGCCTTTCACAGAATAATTTCGCCTCACGTTATGTTCGCGACACTCACGTTACGTTAATCGCGAACTTGAAGTGTCGCGAAAATACCATGTAATAAGATAGCAGTATTTTGGATGTTTCAAGTCCCAACATTTGAAAAAAAGTTAAAAAGCCCTCATCAAGCCCGTACCTTCTTGCCAAGTTTTCGCCCAACAGCAACAAGAAGCTTTTAGGTCCATGTAGGTGGTATTCATACACCGTACAAACAACATCCACTTATTTACCGATCATGCGTCAAGCCTTCTCATATTAATACTAAATGTTCAATAACTATTGCTTGTGAACACCTGTACTAGGTTTTTAATATTTATATCGTTGCTCTGAATGTCATGCTTAAAAATCCCTGTCGTTTCGCCGTAGCAAAGGAATAGTTTGTTCACTAGTTTCGATATTTTTTAGGAGCATTAAAAGCGACATTTGACAAAGTTTTGTCGGTTTTTAATTGAGTTCTAAGCAAACAGGATATGGTGAAGCAATTAATCGTCTCATCTTTGCTAAATCTATAAGGAAAAATACACGAGAACGCACCGATATTTCAGATATTTTATAGCGGAGGCATCAGTAAAATTTGTAGACTTGTCAGTTGTTTATAATGCATAACGGTAAGAAGAGATTTACCTACCTTGTTTGAATTAGTAATGTAGGTCGCTATCCACAGGGATGTTTTCACGAAATACTTTCAATGAAAAAATGAACATGGAATTCTTTGTCCCAACGCGTACATAGCCTGACGGTATAAAGGGAAAAGCAGCCCTGCGAGTTCCCGTTTTACAGTGAGACGAGATAACTGCATGAGGTTTCAATGATCTCACTCAGTTGCCTGTAGTGCTGTTTGTTTTGTTTTCTTGTCAATTTACAGTATTAATTATCACTCTAATAAGTCGACTTTTACGTAAAGAATAAAGTCAGTCACATAACCATCCTTTCTCGTATCCAATTTCTATTGCCCAACCCTATCCTAATTCTGTTCTACCTGATCGTCGTGAAATTTCAACCGGTAGTTGCAAGTATAATGGCTGTGGTTCAATATTATTCTTAATTTAATCCTTCTTTTGAGTATCTCTATATGGAAATATAGCTAAATATATGCATGATAATTACAGGATAAAACCGAACTTCAAAGTTAATCTAGAACCGAGGATGAAATTAAAATGCGACACAAAGAACGTCCAGCACATGACCCGGCCGGAGATAATGTCACTGGTAGGAAGGAGTAACTGATTAAAAAAGTGTTGTATCGACAAGAAAATAATTCAAAATGGTGTTAAGTCCCCTAAATGATAAGTTAGATGGTATGATATCTTGGTAAGATCTAAATTAAATCAACTGGCAAAAATATAGTATATCTCCAGAATTTTATTCCATATTCGATTTCACTCAGTTATCTCACACAAAAACCGCTATTTTAAGGACAGTTATAACGACCTGTTAAAGAATATAACAGCGTTTCCCCTTTTTTATCTTCATAAATAATAAATTAAACTGAAGAAGGCAACTCAGTAAAAATACCTACTAAAAATTCATAGTTTTTTTCAGTTATAACAATTTTTGACGGATGCAGATGTAATCAATAGAGACTGGTGTCAGTTTGTACAACTGAGTCAATCTTTTTTTCAAAGTTATATTCTGTAATGAGTTTCAGTTGACATCAAAAACATGGGGGCTGTGGACAAGAGTTCTTGCTGTGGATTTAAAAGCGCCAACGAAAATGTCACTTATCAAAAGTGAATTCGCTTTCTTTCAAATTCTTTCAATTGGCAGTTATGCTTACTAGACGCTCAGTTTAGTTATCAAACCGGTGAGCGTAAAAGGTGGAATGAGTTTGCGGAATGGCATGTAGCATGGTTTGCGTAATGACATAATTATGTGTAATGTTAAAGAAATGAATAACACTGAAAATTGCACCCTTTTTTGGCGCCAATCAATTCACAGGCAGCTGTTTCTTTAATGTTGCGTGCTCGACTGCGATAGATACATACATACATATACTTTATTTATGCTCGAAATTTACAGAGTAGCTGTAGAGCTAATATCTTCCAGAAAATAAGTTAAAATAAAATAAAATATTCTATATTACAATTCCAACATTATTTATAAACTATATACAACATTAATCAAAAAGCCAGGAAAGACTCCTTGATGTCTCACGGTCGATTAGCTTTTTGTTCAGCCACAAAGATTCTACTTGCTGTTATTAGTTGGGCTGCTGGCAGCACCGATACTACATCACGAAAGTCGGCCATTGAAGAAAAGGTGAGTTGGAAGGTCACACTATGTTCTGCTTTAATTTTTTCTGCAAAAGATATTTGCAAGATGAACGCCACTTCTTTAGTTTATTTTCATCTGTGAGAAGTGTTTCTTTTTCAGACGGTGGTTCGCGTGATTGTTCCTGACATAATATTCAGAGATCGAACGTGTCTTGTATTTTGTTTTTTGGCTACGTGGTGAAGTTTCATGCGCGAGCTCGAATCCTGGCAATAGAGTTTGTGTGCTTTTTGTCTTTCTTTCTTTTCCTTTCCTTCCTACTTTCAGCATTTTTTCTCCTTTACCTTTACCTTTCCTTTATTACGTTAGTAAAAGCCAGTTCGTCATAACACTAACTGTTTAAAAAAAAATACATAACTATTAAAAAAAGTACATATTAATGACTTGGTTAGTTCAAACAAACAAGGGAGGTGCGAAGAGAAGCGGAAAAGCCTAGAGGAGAAAGGGAGAAGTTCGCCGCTTCACTCTATTTGTTGATTACGGATTAATGTTTGACTCGAGGCGTTCATTTAGTCTCGAATTTGATCTGATTCGTTCACTGGCGTATTTAAATCCCTAGAATTGTTGCTATAGCCCAACTTCACGTTCAGAGAGCGTTTTTTACCCTCTAGCGTTGCCATAAAGAGTGACCCTTGATTTGAGTAGCACAGGTTATATACCCCTAACTTGAACCCAAACAGATTTGTGACACAGTACGTCTGCACGTATTTGACGAGGCTTATATTTCTTTATTTCATTTGGGACTACCGACTCTGCCATTTCCTAACATCCTCGATCCCAGGGTCCTCTCTCTTTCTTTCTCTTTTTCCTCGTCCGCCGTTACGACGTTTCTATGTAATGAGGAGAGTAAGACTCAATAGAAGATTGTTTAAACGTGACATGTTTTCGTACTTTCAACGCGCTTCACTGGAAAAGAGACGTGAGTAAAGAACCGTTTCAGTTTATTTTGGAAACGAGTTATGGATGATTTATCGAGTAGTTCGTGTATCAGCTGTGTTTCAATTTTAGCCTTGCAATAAATGGACCAGCAAATCGATTGCTCGCTCGAATTGGCGCAAAAAAATAGCGCGGCAGAGACGCGCACATACTTTCCTGTTGAATTTTTTTCTTTGCGCCATTTTCCACAAATTAAATTCCACATAATTATGTCATTCCGCAAGCCATGCCACATGCCATTCCACAAAATCATTCCGCCTTTTACGCTCACCGTTATCAAACCACTATATACTAAGCAAATTTTCTGGGAAATTAATTCTTGGGGACCACCTCCACTTCATAATGAGAGAGAAAAAATAATATTCGTGGCGTGAAAAATAAGATGCAGCCAAGAGTTGTTCTTTTGGTAATTTAACCTATTGCCTTTATCTTGGTTTATCGTTTATCGTGGTTGCTTAAGCACCCCATTATTAATTAGTTTTAGCAGTGGTCAGTGTATACCTTGCTTTTTAAATCAGTCCATCTCAGATCAGATAATTTGCCAACACTGCTCATTTGTAGATTAAAGCAATTCAT